ATGGTAATACATAGAAATCAACTACTTTTTTTCAGGAAACAATGTCATATACGCGCGTCAAATAGGAAAATAATGATAAATAACTACTTCAATGTTTGTGCATCATTTTTCTATATACAATACGATTTATTGCAATGTTCTGCATAATATATGAGTAGTACCAATATTCTTCGAAATCGATTTTACTCGAGAATGATATATCTGATCTATTTATTATTTATATAGATAATTTGCTGAATCTTGAATTTAATGGATCAATCATCAGCTATGCAGATGATACTGCCTTATTTTTAGAGAGTGATAATTGGCAAAGTCTAAGAATATATGCAGAAAAAGATATTAAAAAGGTAAAAATGTGGTTTGATCACCGAACTTTAACAGTTAATTATAAAAAACTTACTTTCTACCATTTGCCTGCACGAAAAATAATCTACCAGAATTCTCAACATTGGATATTGATCAAAACATTAAAATTGATATAACAAAAAATATTAAGTATCTTGGCATAACTGTTGACAGTCATCTCCAGTGGGATGAACACATCAAAAAGGTTTGCAATACGCTGAGTTTTCATTTTCAAATTCAAGAAATTGAGAAATATTCTAGACATTTCTTGTCTCAAAATTATCTATGCATGCTTTAAAACAGCATCTAAAAAAATTAGAAGTGGTGCAGAAATGGATTCTCAAACTTATTATGGGAAAACAAAAGACATATTCTTCTGACAATCTTTATAAAGAGGCGAATATACTAGATATTAGACAAATTTATTTTCTGAACGCAGTCGTCTATCAACACAAATCTAAGAAATATAGTGAGAAAGCAGATCACGATCATAATACAAGGAACAGAGATAATTTCAAAGTGCCCTTCTCACAGAAATCAATTGGACAGAGGAGTATCCTCTATCTTGCTCCCAGACTCTATAACTCTCTACCAAAAAAAATCCATGAAATATATCAACTGAAATCATTCAAGTCAAATGTGAAGGAATGTATTCAAAATGTAAATTGAGAAGTAATCCATGAATTCATTGAAACGAAGAATATGAAGTGATAATGTTGTGTAAATTTTCTAGTGATTGTTTTCACGTCGATATACCTTTTCAAACAAATTTGTGTATGTATATATTTTTTTCAGAGAGTTATTCAATTAGTGTATTTGTATTGTTTTTTTTTTAGTTCATGTTTCAATTTCAAATTATAGGCGATATCTTTTACATATATACCTACATTTAAAACTATTTTAACCACAGACAGTCTTTGACTCTGTGGATTCATTGTTTATTTGTGTATAATGTTCCTAAATATGTGTGTAATTCCTGTTTATTACTGTAATTTTTTTCTCCAAATAAACTATTATTATTATTATTATTATTTATTATACGGAAAAGGGGCACCATTTTTCTGTAGAGGTGTGGATTTTCATAATCCGAGATGAAATTGTCGAAAAACACGTATACAAAACAGTTTGAGCTATATTCATTATAGTCTCACCCTCTATTATCTACTCCTGAATGAAATTTTGGAATAATTTTGTTTTCACTGCATTGGGCATGGAGGACCAGTTCTTGTACCGAATTTTGAATTATTCTATCACATGGCGTTCTGGATATACTCAAGAAATATCATCTCCAGGAGCCCCTCTTCAGGGGGCCGCAGCTCCCCTTAGGAAACATTTATCGTAATTAATGTTTTGAAATGGAATATTTCACATAGATCAAATAATCAGGAAGAATTAGTTGAAAAAATTCTATATTTTTTTTCAGTTATTGTGATGGTTATTGCTCCAAAAATTATAAAACCTAATTCACTCGTAAAAAGTGAATGAAGGATAAGAAAAAACATGCATTACAATCAAATTATACATGTCATGAAACAGGAATGTAAATACTAAAATATCAAATGAATAATTATAGAAACAATATTTCCTTATAAAATAATATGAGATGTAACATATGACCATTTTTATATAAAAATAAAATATATAATGATTTCTATATACATTAACAACTAGACTATCATCGATGATAATATCCGAACATGAGGTGGAATTCTAAGAAACCTAAAACCTTTATGGAACTATTTGTTAACATTTAAATGTTTCTCAGGAAAGAGTTAGCTAATAAGTCGTCATTCGGTAGCTCAAATGATGTATATTTGGATGTGTTGAGTCATCAAATATAGATTTTTTGAATACAAACACTGATTATAAGTTTGTAGGTAACTGTAAATTTAATCAAACTTTTCAATGTTTGAACAATTTAAGAGGCACTCCCGATCCCTCGTATAAATTCCATTCTCCCATCGTATACTAACGAAATTGATATTTCGCAAGCAACCTAGAAATGGCGATTGAATAACATCCTACAAAACATCATTTTCGCTGATATACGATGAGAAACTTGAAGATCCAGGATACCCCTAGGTATTGTGTGTCAAAAATAAGCAGCACACCTAAAATAGCTGACTGTGATGTGATGTGATCATTGTCATAAAATAATAGTTTTGACTTTTTTTCAGGTATGTTTTTCATGCAAATGAAAATTGACTTCGCCTGCCGTTAAGTAAAAGTTGTTTCTTCATCAATTTTTCATTGAAATGAAGCAACATAACATAGGATTATGAAATAAATAAACAGTATTAATTCTACGCATGTCAAGTCTCGAAACTCTTCCGAAAAGTAACAATAGAATGGCGTAGCAACGCATATACTTCATGAAACCCATTTAATTTAATAGAATTATTCTGAAGCCTACGCTGACACTTGATCTGTAATTGGCAGGTAATCTGAAAAGTTTGAAGAAAATGGCAATGGTGAGGTTGGAGGTCATGTCAGCTGTCAATCTCTGTTAATTTGTTTACAAACATTCATTAATAAACGTTAATACGATTTTTCTACGTTGTAATGCGCTTTTATGTCCCTTGAGAAATGCTGGAATATACAAAGAATATAGATAATTGTAATCTTGAGAAACTATACATAAGTGACAACCTGACAACTGACAAAGTTCACCAGCTGATCAACTGCAGCTGATTACTGATGAAAACCATGAAAACATGTTCCAAATTACAGTACTGTATTTTTGATTTTATATTTTGGAACTCAGATTTTCAGCGGAATCAGTGGATATACTGACATTACTGACCAGTTGAATTCGGACTATAGCCTTAGAGTACGGACACTCGACAAGCAGTGACAGTAAGACATAACCAAAAACGATTCTGAAGTAAATCATATGTTTTGTCTGACAAGGACAAGAATATGTTTTTCGCTTGGATATAGGCTTCTGCATCTTCCTTTCTCTGCATGTTCAGGGAAGAGTACATCCACATATCTTTCTTTGTCTTTTATTTTTGAATGAGAGTGTATAGCGTATCCTCGAGTGGGAAAAAGGGTATACATGATAAATTAATTAAAATATGGAATGATAGGGCTGAATAACTTTGATGGAGGTCGATGGCCAGTTGGTATGTACAAATATACCATCGAAGTACATATACTATTACTATGAAAATATAATGAACTGAGGGAACAGTTACGTTCAGTGATTCATTTGAATAATTTTGTAGCTCAAAAGGTCAGAATGGGGTTAAAATTGATAAATTACAACCATTAAAACATACTTTTATTTTAGATGGAACATTGTTGCTTATACAAGAGTGGTAGGTGATGAGTATTGTTGAATGAACAGATGATATGGCAACAATAACAGGATACTAGATATGTACATTCATATCAATATGAAGGAAGTGTATGATCGATTCATGATACTGAGTCGTATCAACTATTTAATAAATGTTTGGGGATCTTGTTCAAAAAATAATTTCAATAAAATATCAACATTATATAGAAAATCGTTAAAAGTATTGTATCGTCTCCCATTTGATACACCAACCAATCAATTCTATGAAATAACAAATACGAATTCTTTGGATGAAATATATAGAATTGAAACTCTTAAAATATCATATAATATCATAAATTAAAAATTGAAGTCGAATATTATTTTGATACGGAATTCTGAAATTCATAATCACGAAACTAGACAATATAACTTGTTTCATCTTGACGCCGCTAGCTCCATAATCGGACAAAAAAGATTCACTCATTCAGCCTTAGCTGAATTCAATAAATTACCTGGCAATATAAAATTGCAGAAATATAGGTACATTCAAAAATGAAATAAAAAAACTGATTATTTCTGAGCCAACTGGATAAAATCAATCATGCCATGTTTTTTCACAAATATTATTCTTGTTTGCCAATTTACAGTTGTTGATATATTTTGAATGATGATATGTTTACCTATAGGTATATAATTATGTACTTCCTTATACCAGAGCCTATTCTGTCTGGAAGTTATTTGTTCAATAAATAAAAAAAAATAAAAAAAATAGAATACTCCAGTTAAGATGAATAATACAGATTTTCCAAGACATACGAACAGCACTCGACTTACTAGAGATCGCCGTTCGTTGTTGGTTCGAATCCGGCTAAGAATCCGATCATCGGTAGATCATTTTGAATAACATAATAAGTGGTGCACCGGTTGAGTTCTCGTTCTGTCAGCTTATTTTGGTACCCCAGAGGTTTTTCAAAATAAGCTGTATATGTCCCGCACTTCTCAACTACGCACAAGTTGGGACTTGGGATGATTTCAACTTTGAAGAAGTGATACACAGATAATTCAATTAGACGAACCTTTGAAATGTATGTCATGTACGTTCGTGTATTGTCAGTTTCTGCTTTTTTCAATTTTTATTTGTGGTTATGTCTGACTGTCAGTGCTTGTAATAGTGTCCGTACTCTAAATATACGAATATGTCAAAACAGCAGTGTCAAGTACATTAAGGAACTCTAGTTATCAGTAACTGAGATTACAAAAAACGCTGGGTATCCCATGATTACCTCTCTTGATATTTTAGTAATTATTATTTGGCTCAACACATTCTCAACTATCATTTACGATTCTTACACAACATGGAGAAGAAAAATACTTATTCGTCTTCATTTTTTGGCCTCTGCAATTTTTCTGGGTGTGAACAAGCTAGTCGGGAGAAATCTCTCACCACATCATTGAATGTGTCGTCACCTGAGATTCCCATTTCAGAGTCTTTCATTTCATCGTTCAGTCTACCCAATCGCAACCTGAAAACAAAGTTCAATCCGTTTAGAATTATTTCAAATTTTCAGAAAATTTGCAAGCTTGTAGTATGTAAAAAAATTTGTAATTTAGTAGGACTATTCAAGATCTGAACCCACAAAAATTACCTTTTATTATAACTGACGTTATAAATGCCAAAAACATATTTGCTAATGGAGGTAGGTTGGTTGATCAAGTGTGGGTTTTAAGTATATTCGGCTTCTGTATTGGTAGAGCAAGTCCAATAATTTTTTGGGAACAACAAATAATATTGCTGTAAAACATGAGGTACCATGAAGACGAGCGATTTTAATTGGTTCTCGAAATCATAAGCTGAATGTTGATGGTATACAATACACCAATAGTGAATAGACCGTCTTCCTTTCATCTCGTGGCTATCTTATAAGTGGCGACTAGGGGTGGGAAAAATTATCGATATATCGATAATTATCGATAATAATGTGAAGAAAAATTATCGATTTATCGATATTATCGATATTATCGATATTATCGATATTATCGATATTATCGATATCATCGATATTATCGGAATTATCGATATTATCGAAATTATTGATAATATCGATATAATTGGAATAATCGAAATTATCGATATTATCGATATTATCAATATTATCGATGATATCGAAATTATCGATATAACCGATAATATCAAAATTATCAAAATGAATGAGCATCAGAAAAATAGGTATTTTTGTTTTTTATATGGAACACCCTGTATAAAACAGATACCTGTTGGTAAGAATTGAGGTAAGAATGAAAATATAATAAGACACGCCACCCTGTACAGGGTGGGCAAAATTGGGCGTTTTCGCCGTCTATCTCAATAAGTAGAGGTGTTATCGAAAAACCGATATACATGTTCCGGGTTCGATTTTGGAGAAACCTCGAATGGCACAATCGAAATTTCGATATCTCCATTCGTTTTAGAGATACAGGGGGAAATTGAAAATTTGCCGATTTCGATTTTATTTTCTGACTACTTTACGGTGAGAGGTATCAAAAAATTCCAAACGTATATTCATACAGTATGATGCCTGGAATCTATTGGCATCATCAGAAATTTTATACAGGGTGACGTTGAAAAGATACGGCAGCCAATTATGTTTTTTCTAATGGAACACCCCGTATATTTTGGCACAGTTGAATAGCCCCAGGCGTTCTCATTACAAATATATATATAACCCTACCTTTTCCTTCCACAATTTCAGATATATTCGCAAAAATATATTCAGTGTGTCACATTTCTTATGGTTACACCCCCGTATCTTCTGTAAAAATAATTGAGGTAGGATTCAAAAATTCGCAACTGTCAGAAAGATACAAATGATACACTCATGGAGTCATGGACCAAGTGGGATCATCTCCAATGATAACACTGCTCGCCAGCAGCTATGGAATCATCGATATTTCTGGATAATGCTATCAACAGGCAGAATCGAGGTTGAAAATGACACTCTGTATATATTCACCAAAGGTGGAAAATGAATATCATAGGGAATGTTATTTCCAGGCAAATGGATAGTTGGTGAGAAATAAAATGGGAAATCATTCGATTTGATATCTTGATATCGATAATATCGATAATATCGATAATATCGATAATATCGATAATATCGATAATATCGATAATATCGATAATATCGATAAATCGATAATATCGATACATTATGAATATCGATAATCGATATTTCAATATCATTATCGCCCACCCCTAGTGGCGACACAAATATTTTCACTCGCACATCTAACGGCAATCCTTGAAGCAGCCTAAGAACGACACTTGCCACACGTGAACCCGAAAATGTCATATTTGTTGACGACACTTCGTTGTATCAATATACAGATTGTTTATCAAATCGTTGCATATTGAAAAAGGAGGACATTTGGCAACATGTCCAATTACGGAAAACAGCGGTTGTTTCACTGTGGTGGCCAACTGTTGTCAGATCTACCGTTTTTACAGTGTCAACTCAACCGCTCTACTGCAGTGTCTCATTTTGCATTCATACTTTCAAATTTATCATACCTAAATAAAAACATTCCATTCAATTTTGATATTTTGATTCGAATTAATTATTAAAAAAAATATAATATTCAGGGAACGATTTATTTATTTGCGTGCGGCAATATCTCTATTGCAGTAACCACATTACGAGTTTCATTGGCAACTGCAAATCATGCATAACGTTTTGAATGTTTAGCTTTTGTCGGTGAATCCCCTAGGTAACGTCGGTAATCGGTGAATATCCAAGATTCGTAGCCACTACACAATTTTACGAGTTGTCCTTTTTAAAGCTTTCTAATTTCAAGTGAGATTTTACAAGAATCATGATTATTCAATTTTCATTTTTTACTTCTGTTGATTACCTACCTAATTACATTACTAGTAAACCACTAGTGAATCTAAATTTTCAAACTATATCTACCGTTTTATTATATATATTATTATATCTCATTCTTGACCTGGCAGCACTGGCGAAGACGTACGATAGCCGACCGAATCAGTCTCTCTAGCTATGTTGCCATTCACATGCCCTATATGTAACGATTGGGCAAACGATCTGTATAACCTCCGTTTATGACACTCACGTCAAAAGTGTCATTACAGAAACTGAAGTGTGTTGTTCTCGAACAGTTTCCAAATAATGCTTTCAGAGGCGCATTGTCAGTAAACTTGCGTTTCTTTGCAACATGATGATGGTGCATAATGAATCTCTAATACTCACAATGTGACGATATCGGCATGCTCCTTTTGTTCGGCAATGGCAAGCGGGACTTTCCCCTCGTCGTCTTCCAGGTGCTGGTCGGCTCTGTGTTTCAGAAAGAGGCACACTTGGGCCGTATGACCCTCTTGAGTGGCGAGCAGCAAAGGGGTCTTGCCGTTTTGGTCTTGAGCGTTGAGTTTCGCACCGTTAAGCAAGAGGTAGGCACAAGGCATGACAGAACCCTTATAAAAATTAGGACATTCAATGAAGGGGTCTTGCGTTAAGTTTCGCACTGTTGAGCAAGAGGTAGACAAACAAGGTTGGTAGAATTGATATTAGTTAGGTCAGACAGGCTATATTCCGAATTCAACTGACAGTACTGAATTTGCTGATTTTTCATTCCGAAACCAAAAAATGAACTGAAAGTGACAGATGCTTGTGAGCAGACATTACTATACATTCCAAATATTTCGGCTCAACTTTCTGCTGAAATTGCTGAGCATCAGAAGGTAGTATGCTTCAGTGAACTGCCATCATTTTAGAGGGGGAAGGAATGCATGATTTATTTCCGTTGTTAATGATATTATTTTCAATATCAGAGAATACTTGTTATAGAATAATGAACGCTGAGAATAATATGTGGTATGAAGTGATAGAGGTAACGAAAGAAGAAGCACCATTGACTAAATAAATAACTAAATAAACCTGAAATGTCTCCAAAATTCTTCATAGTTAATACCATATTACGTTTCTCATGAATCTTTCAACTCTCAATCTGGTGCACCATGAAAAATGAATGGCAATAAAGTGTCCAGGTATGCGCTTCATCACTCGAGCTTGAGTCGTCATCGTCAACAATCGTAGAAACTATAGAGGCTACAAGAATCGATTCCTCTTCCATGTTAAATATTAAATTTCCCAAATTTATATCAAGCAGGAGGCTGAATATCTAGTTCAGATAGACGAGAAACTACAGACTGACAAATTTCACCAGCTGAATCTACTGACAGTACTGACCAGTTGAATTCGGAATATAGCCACAGTTTAGTACTTTCATTTGGTTTGTATCACTTGTCACGCAGTCATTCTGTCATGTCATCCTGTCATGTCATTCTGCACTTTCTGTTGTTTTACCTAATCTTTGCTTTTGGCTGTTGTCAAATGGCCATCAGTGGTGATGAAACTCTTAATGAGTAAATTTTGATTCATAATTTCATATTTTCAATTCCTGCTCTTACCGATGTTGAATTGCATTATGGAATTGTTCTTTTGGCTATTTAGTCGATTTAAAGAATACTTAATTTCCTGCCTGATTTTCCGGTTTTTGACCTAGCTTTCAGATAAACTTATCTCCACATGTCCTCTTAGGTTACTTTTTTCCTCAATAGTTCATTGTCTATTTGTAATTTCCTAATCTTCACAGGTATTTTATATGTCTGAAGATGGCCGTTTTGTCGAAAAAAGTCAAAAGTTTGATTTGTTAATGTAATTTCTGTGGAAGACCGACTTAGTGTTATAATGATTTGCTTTGAATTGATGATTCATCTGTAGAGGAAGGTTGCCTCGATCGGAAAAAGCGGTGAGGGGAAGTGGTAATTCGTGACGTTATCGCATCCAAAATTTCATGTTTGGATCATAGAAATGTATGTATAATTCTAGATCACAGCTGGATAGGTAATTATACTTGAAAACAGTTGTAGAACATAGATCTACATGACTCCGAAATGGAATTTTCGATGTGATTACGTCACGAATTACCACTGCCCCACCCCGTTTTGCTGCAAGAGACAACCTTCCTCTACAAATAAATCTTCAATTCTACCAACCTTGATGATAAAACCATAATTGAAATTTGGACATACAATGAAGGGGTATTGCCGTTTTGGTCTTGAGCGTTGAGTTTCGCACCGTTATGCAAGAAGTAGGCACAAGGCATGAAGGAACCCAGATAAAAATTAGGACATGCAATGAGGGTGTTCCGCGTCTTGCCATATACAGTTGTTATAGCACGTCTCTGAATAGGCGAGTGGACTAATTTTTTTTTTATTCCAATTGTCTCAAACTGTTCCCTTATGATTTGTGGTTTATTGCTTATAATAAATTTGTGTAAATAATAATTAAATTAATTCACACTAGAGGATATTTGAATCGGTGAGCGTGACAACAGCGCACGAATTGTGGGCGTGCATGGTCTTGTCAGTTCTCAGCATTCAGCACAATGTTCTCCAACATTTACATGATATTTTGTTATGGAGAATAAGAAATATTTCGACATGTTGGTTGCTCGAAAAAGACAAGAATGAACTATAATATCATGAGTTCCTCCTATTATGATTTATTCAACGACAGGACTCCAACATCTCTTGATAACTTGATTATAATTGGTGACGTGAAAACCTTGCTTCATGAGTGGAAATGGAAGATTATCTGACTAATAACTAAATAGCATAAAAATTTACGTCACTATTTATTCGACGTATCGCCGTATGGCGACCATGACGGTTCGTTTGAAATGAACTCTGAAATTCAACAATTTCAAACAACACATAGACACATTATTTACGTAAAAGAAAACGTGAGAAGTGTAGCAAACATTAATTTAGGATCCTAACGACACAGTGGTGTAATTGAATGCCAATAATTCATTATCATTCCACTTGCCCATTATGTCATTGTGTGCGCGTACATATCACGAAGATACGATGATGGTCAACTTTTTTATTGAAACTACGGCATATATCAGCAAATTCGGGAGCCGATTGTGCGTAACTGCCGAGGGAATCCATATAACCCAACTTCTGCAACTAGAGCGCTCTTTAATCTTAGTCAGTATGATTGTACTTGAATGTTAGTCCTGTGAAGGGCTTTGTCGCACGTGTTCATCTAGTTTGCGGTTATAAATCAGTAATTTCACCGTAATATATATTAATAATCATGTACTAGATGATGGTTAGAGAGAGAGAGAGAAATCGGAAACAACTCAAAAGTGGGCATCAGCTGATGATTGGGTTAACTTGGAAAAACATTTCGGTATGCTACATGTTGAACTATTTAATTCAGGTTGAAAACTCATCTCGAACTTTAATCGCGTTCAAAGATGGTGAAAACCAACCAAAACTGGACAAACGAAAGAGATGCAATAAGCAGTTAGCAGCTAATGGTTGAGCGAAAATGAAAGAATATGTTCGTTCCTCTTTAATAAAGAATAGTTATCGGGTGATACTTAGAATAATATGAGAATTAGGATAACCATACTAGTTTAGAATAGGAAATTCGTGTAGTTGAAAAATGATGATTTGTCAGATATTGCCGATTCTTTATAATGATCATTAGACAAAGAAAGTCGATGTCTGGAAATTATTGTGTACAGGGTGGCCAACTAAGAATCCAGAGTTCGATACCTCTGTTGTCTTGAGAGATACAAAAAAAAGTCATGTATCAAAATTGAAGTAATAATCGAGCTTCACATTTCAAAATTTCTTTGAAATACACAGGGTGTTCGATAAGGTCACAGCACATCAAAGCTATGTTTTTATCATTGGAACACCCTATATTTTATTCCATTTTTGAATTCTCCCTGAAGATCTGATTTCAACGACTCATCATACTTAGGGTCTAGCAGTGAAAGTTACTGACATATAGGGTGTGCAAAATTGAGATTTTCCAAGTTCAGGATTTTTTCTGTCGAAACTGTTCATTATTCGTCAAAACGGTTTACATGTCCCTATCTTAACTTTTCACTCGCTATCAATTGGTGTTCAATTGACATTTAATTGAAACAAATTATAAATTTAGATTTTTTGACCACCTTGTATCAATTTCAATTGAACACCAATTGATAGTGAGTGAAAAGTTGAGATAGGGACATGTAAACCGTTTTGACGAATAATGAACAGTTTCGACAGAAAAAAATCCTGAACTTGGAAAATCTCGATTTTGCACACCCTATATGTCAGTTACTTCCACTGCTAGACTATAAGTATGATGGGTCGTTGAAATCAGATCTTCAGGGAGAATTCAAAAATGAAATAAAATATAGGGTGTTCCAATGAAAAAAACATAGCTTTGATGTGCTGTGACCTTACGGAACACCCTGTGTATTTCAAAGAAATTTTGAAATATGGAGCTCGGTTATTACTTCAATTTTGATACATGACTTTTTTTTTATCTCTCAAGACAACAGAGAAATCGAACTCTGGAGTCTTAGTAGGCCACCCTGTATAAGACAGATGAAGTTCGTGTATATATTGTGGTTTGTGATATTGAGGCGAATTCTGTGATCATAAGATCTGCTGTATGTGTCAGTTTGAGCACAGGCATTAACATCACAGATTCGATAAAAGATTCAGCGGATTGAACCATCCTATAGAAGTATAGAGGGTCAAATATTCTTGAGCATTAGCAGCAGTCGGCTGCCGATTGAGGGTGAGTGAACAGCTTACAGTAGGCCAAGCAAAGTTCGAGCTATCAAACTAGCAGACAAATCATAGGATATTAAGAGGAATCCATGCCCACTTGAAACGAATTTTCTTCTAGTTTCTAAACGAATGATCCGATTTTCATGCAGTTTATACCATTCGCTTCAATAAAATATTCTACATAAGGGAAAGTATTTATTTATTAAATTTTCGACAGAAAAAAAATAAGTACACTTAATTTCTTTGTAATCATAACAAATGGGGGTTTCCCTCAAGTGGATGTAGGTTTTTTGAAATCAGGTATCAATTTTAGTTCGGAAGATTGAAAATTGAACCTGTGAGAAGAAAAATAGAAAATGCCTTTACGGCAACCGATTCGTGGCGCCCTCTGATCACGCGAATTCCTGTCGCTCTTTCGCAAAGGCAGCCGCTAGCGAATCTGCAGGCGACCCAAGGGCGCACGGATTTTTAACTAGACTAGTTTTAATTCGCTCAGGTGCTCAGTGTGAGTTCGTACTTTTTCGAGTTCGTGTTTTCGTAATCATGGGAAAAGTGAAAGAAATGAAAGGCGCTGCGGAGGAAAAAGATTATTTGCGAGTGAGAAAAGACGTAGCCGTAGAAGAGCCCAAAAGAAATCATTACTGAAGAGGTAAGTCATAGTATTGGAATAACTGATAAAACGTGTTTTCTGCAGATACCTAACTCTGAAAGCGTTAGGAATTGCGACAGGATTATAATTAGAGAAATGTGTGTTTTCCATGTATGCATTGAATTACATGAAAATATACAAGGGCTCTAATTTGAGATAATAAAAATAAAGTGCTTCAAAATTTGAAGTTTGCCAATGATTTTCAAACATCATGTGATGATTTTTATGCATATTTAAATCACCAAAATCCAATGTTGAGTAATACTTCTTTCCGAATATGCTGAAATTCGAACTAGACGTTGATTCAACAAAATATTTATTTTTCAGTGATGATGTACGTCCAATGTGTAGGATAAATGAATCTTCCCAAGTTTCACCAGTTGAGAATCTGGAAACAACTGATGATATTCCTCTGTGGTGCAAATATATTCGTTCTGATCTTGCTTGTACTTACACCTGCATTATTTTCAGTGACCCTTTTAGAGGCATATCTATACACGGGCGACGTTTGGCAGATATTGGATATTTATTGAAGCAAATAGCAGAAATATCCAAGCACCCACCATTCGATTGTTCATTGGAAAGATCAAATGAAACCCAAATTAGAAACTTTTTACAAGTGTTGTCTCTTGCCGGAAATAATAGATCCCAGATACCCAAGAAGATTGGAAATCCGAAATTTACCACGGCAATAAATATACATAGTTTAAGTTACATCAAATGTGTTTTTTCATGATGATATTTTTAACGAACCCAGTAAAATTTCATATCATTACCGATTATTACAAATAGACTATACAAAATTTTACATAAAACCACCGACGCTCCATTCTGTGCTCCGACCCTGGGCAATGAGCGGTAGGGGAAAAGTGAACGCAAAGATTGCTCGGCGACAAGCCCGTCCGTCTGTGAGTAGTGTATATCGTCAAGGAATTGAGAGAAGCCGTTCGATGCGTTAGTCTTTACTTATTTCTCTTGCACATACAAAGGTCCGCCTACTATTTTGCTAGAAATTTTGAGGTTACTGCTGTTCTACGAGTCGGGTGCAACTGTGTATTCCTCTTAATGATAATTCTATTTGTTTTTATCAAAATGAACAAAGGTCCTGGTGAGATTTGCGTACTCATTTCAAAAATAGTTGTACTGGTACTTTCCCTTTCACCATCCACCAGTATTGAAGACGACCTCGGAATAGACTGTAAAACCGTTCTTATATTATATTAAATAACTGATTTTGTCAGAAGGATCTACATAGCCATACTCCAAATTTGTTTTGAATATATGATATAATAGTTGTACAAGCCGTATTTTTTCGTATCTCACCAACAAAGAGGTTAATTCAATTATACAAAATTATGTCATTAGTTTCTAGGACTACAAATAAGAGTGTGATGGTGTGTGTGTGTGTGTGTTTCAACTGAAACCATAGTAGAATATACATTCAACATAGGAATTGACTCAAAATATCAATATCAAAATGATGTGACTTTCTAAATTTTTTCTAATTTTTCATATGTGTTTTAGGTTAATTAAAAATGTTTATCCTGGTGATCAATGTGCTAGTGACAATAAAAAATACTCACACTAATTACTGCTGCATGGAGGGGACTCCTTCCCTTATCGTCGGGATTGTTCCAAGATTTATCAGCACCTAAGGCAAGAGCTTCACACATCACTGGAAGGTTATGGGCGGCAGCAGCTTTGTATAAAAGAGAGTTCGGTTGAAGCTTAGCAATATCTTCTTCTCCTGGAATATTAAAAACCAACTAAGACAATGCGTATTTTGTCAAAGTATCAAGTGTGATACATCGTTGAAGTTGGAATTGATTGCACTTCAAAAATCAACAAAAAAAAAATGTTTATGGTGTAATTTGAGAAAATTTACGTTGGGGTGGTTTTTCAAGGGTAGTTTGACAGAGACACAACGGCTTAAAAGTCATATGGGTTTGACAAAATTGTAATTTTTTTCCAAGCAGCATAACTAAGATATTGGCTGTATGAAAAGATCTGCGACACCCGATATATTTCTACTGTTGTATACACTTTACATAGCTTATTTTGTATGTAATTCAATTTATACTGTTTCCTTGTTACTGATGATAATTCAAACTCTATTTTTCTATATTCTGTACTCGAGACTTCCACTATATTCTGTACTCGAGACTTACATATTATTATATTGATTGAAATAAACATATCATTTTTTTCATTCAACTCTCTTCGATTATCGTGCACTGTATTTTTTGTATGAGAGAAATAAATAATAATATTATTAATATCAATATTTCCACTTATCATCCAAAATCCTGAGTTTCTCACTGTCATTGCAGAACTCTAATGTCCATGTGAAAAGATGCATACCAATTATTAATTTTACAATAAGATTTGCTTATTGTATCCATCTCTACCCATCGTTTACCCAAACACATCAATGGGGCTGTACACACTAGTCGAATTTACGCCACATACCTATTTTATATTGATCATTGAGTGTATAAATAGTATTTGATGCAATCATTGGTTATTCAAAATCATTGCAAATATTTTTTTTCAATAATTAAATTCGGCGACTTCGAAAAATGTTATTTCCGTATCTGATATCACAATGACTCCATTGTGTTATTATTTCAAAAAAATCTCATGGCTCATGGAAGGTCAAATTCAAGCAATGACAGCTCTGTCTGATAGATGAACATTACTTGACAGGAAATCAGATTGCTTCAAGATGAAGCAATCGAAAATGCCACCGTTATCTATTATAGCCGTAGAAAAATTATAGTGCATAACTTGCACGGAATGCTAATTTTCTACTCGAATGATTGCAGCATTCACCTATGCCTCATGCTGCTAACTTCATACTCGTTGGAAACCACAATAATTCCGTGCTCGTTAAACAATATATTATTTTCACTGGAACAGGCCCATTTCCTCATCAACTTACCAACAATCTCATTCTCCTCCTCACCCCCAGTCGACTCCTGATCGCTACTAAGATCGATCGCCCCCTCGATAGGCTGCTTATCGAGATCGTTCCCGAACAACAGCACGCTACTCCTCTTCTTCAGACTGTTCCTCTTCGATGACTCGCTGCCAGTGTCTTCGTCTCTGCCCGCGCCGCTGCTGCTGCTGCTGCTCTCCAGACTTTCGGGGATATCTTCGATGTTGGTCGCCTTAGCGATCGCGGTGATCGGTTGCTTTTTCTCCCTTTCGATTGAAATATGTATGTACAGTGTGTCCAGTTTTCGATGCTTTTGCGTGATATCTCAGTTATCTTCGGAGATAGAACCTTGCGGTTTTCGGAGTTGTGAAACTCAGGATGGCCTCATCAGATTTTGCATAACTGTTTCCGTTTATGAGATACAGTGCGATATTGAAAATTTATACTTTTTGAACCCCCTCTATATCTACGAAGTTTCTTAGCGAAAATGTCAAATTATAATGTTATTCCATGGAGAATTTCACGCGGAATTCGTTCAAAATAATATATGATGTATTGATATAGAATTTTCAAAAAAGCTCAAAAATCACTAAAACATTGGAATTGAATAGTGGGCTATGGATTTTTCATATAAAAAAAGTTCCAATCGAAGGAATATTTCTATCGATTTTTCCATGGAGGACAAAAACAATATCAAACTAATTAACTAACAAAACACACAAGTTAGGTACTTCAAAGCAACAAATAAATAGTAATAAATGTTCATAATGTAGAATAAGCACCTGATTAAATATTAACTAAAACAATTGAATTTCGAAATTATTCAGTAACTTATTCATTGAATTGTTCAAATTGATTAGCATTAAATACTGTCTGTAGGTTAATCGAGGAGGTGGTACATTCATTTTACTTGGTTCTTTGGGATTTTCTCTCCTCGTTTCTATAAAATAAAAGTATTCTTATTATTTCAATATATTTGTCCCTCTACAAATATATTGAAATAATACGAATACTTTTATTTTATAGAAACGAGGAGAGAAAATAAAAGTATTCGTATTATTTCAATATATTTGTCCCTCTACAAATATATTGAAACAATACGAATACTTTTATTTTATAGAAACGAGGAGAGAAAATCCCAAAGAACCAAGTAAAATTGATTACCATTGTCCCTAACACACAATTGACAGACTTTCTCGATAAGTGCTAATACACAACAATCTTGATGAACTTCGTGCAACAACAGAGGCAGTTTCCAGAAATTACACACATCCTTTAATGATTTTGAATGCATAAGACGTATTGCGAAAGTGTGTGAGGGAAAATGGACATCAATTTGAACAATTCAATGAATAAGTTACTGAATAATTTCGGAATTTAATAGTTTTAATAAATATGTAATCAGGTTGTTATTCTAAATTATGAACTTTTTATTACTATTTATTTGTTGCTATCAGGTAACTTAGTTTTGTGTTTTGTTAGTTATTTAGTAGGTATTGGTATTGTTTTTGTCCTCTTCATGAAAAATCAAAGGAAAAATTTCTTCAATTGGAACTTTTTTTATATGAAAAATCCATCCAATCCGTTTAAAATTCAATGTTCTAGTGATTTTGGAGCATGATTCAAATTCTTATAATCAAACATTATATATCATTTTCAAAGGAAAAAAATAAGGAATTTAATGAGCTGATAAAATAGAGGGTGTTCCATTTAAAAAATCACAAGTTTGAGTCGTATCTCCAAAACCATAACCCGAAAAAAAAAAATTCTATGGCCTAAGATTTTAATTTGACATTTTCGCTGAGAAACTTCGTAGATATAGGGGGGGTCCAAAAAGTATAAATTTTCAAAATCGTCCTGTATCTCAAAAACGAGAAAAGTTATACAAAATCTGATTAGCACATCTTGTTTCACAAAAAAATGGCAAAGGACCGCGAAAACCGCAAAAGTTCTATCTAAAAAGATAACTGAGATATCATGCAAAAGCATCGAAAACTGGACATACTGTACAGAGTGAGACACCGAAAACGAAATGTATCGAGAGTATTTTTTGTGAATAAATTGCTTGAGAAATTTTTCTGATGGCCTAAGAAAGTGTTTGGAATCACACGTTAAAAGGTAAGACCCCCGTCATTTCTTGCTCGCACAAGCCTCTTGAAGACTTCTGAAATTTGCTCGTAAGGGGTAAACCGAATGATGGATAGGAACAATTTTAGAAAAACTTTTTTAGAACAATTTCAGGAAAATCATTGGCATCATTTACAAAACATTGGGCCACCTACCTTTTGTCGCCGCTCCTTGGTCTTCGTCTCACCTTCCTAACACTCCATTTTCTGACTTCCATGAGGCTCAACCGAGAGTTGCGGTTGAAGGAGGGAGAGCTTTTATTGAACTGAGGCAAGCACTTGACGAATTTTTTATCTACATATTTGGATTTTATGAAGGTTTCCCTGATTATCCTGCAGAAATAGTTGATTCGTTATCCATTTTGTCATTACGACGAAAGTATATTATAGTTTTTTTTTGTAGTGAGCTATAGATATTCGAGAAATATTGAGAACATAGGTACTATATATATACAGTATGATGCAAATGTATGGAATAAACTCATTATTTCAGAAATGGGCGACATTTGAAAAAATTCCAAAAACACGTGAGTTTCAATTTCTGAAGCCTCATCTCATGATATTCATATGAGAGATGTTACGTCACCGGTGTTGGAGTAAAGACGTAATGGACGATTTTTTCAAATACATGTGACACCTTGATTGAAAGGTCTACCGATCGTCTATCCAACAGTCAAAATGTTGCATAAGAAGATTGAAATTAAAATGGATTATCATGTGATTGATTGAATCTTGCAGAGGTCTGCTACTGAGAATTGAACATCGAAGGGTCGTCTAGTTAAAAAAATACGTCGAAAAAAAAGTTCTAAACTCTAGTTTTTTTTTTTTTCGAAATTCGTCTTGTTTTGAAATGAATTTATTCCAAACATTTGCATCATACTGTAAATACTATATACCAGTTGGTTGAGGAGCTACATGGCGTTGAAGAGCATTTGGATTATAAAGTTTATTCAAGGTATTGTCAGCAGTAGAACATACGGTATATTAGTTGATACGAAACATAAGAGTTTTATAAACAAAGGGTACTCATTCGTCGACAGTGAAATATGAATACTAGAATACTGAAAAAGAAAATCTCATGAGTAAAGTGCCAGTACTGTATAATCTGATGAGTTATTCTGGTTTAGGGATACTCTCGTCTTGACAAGAACTGATCAATATGGTAATTATTTGAAAATTACCTCTTGCAAACCCTTATTCATCGATAATATTGTTATGGGGAAAAAACCTATGTCATGACCCTGGTAGGAAAATCCTACCATGTTCTGACATCCATACCTCTTATATTGTTATATCTTGGAAAGTATGTCAGAAATGCTTCCAATTCATCTAAAAATTCACAAAGTGGTCGGTGTTCACATGACACGATGTTTTCGCATCATATGAATTGAGTTGCTCTTTCAGAATTGATTAGAAGATACATACTCAGTCATGTTACTTATTTATAATGCAATTGTGCTAATTGTTGATAGAAGGTAATGAAAAGAGAGATATATAATTTGAATTGGAAGAATTTCTGGCATACTAGTCTCCGAGATAACGTGGAAAAACTATATTACCCTGATACACTTTACCACTCTTTAGTTCTTCAACAAACCCTAATTGGATGCATAATAAACTAATAAGTTCTCAATATTTCTTGAATCACGCTGTAGAATGAGAATTTGATAATGTGATGACATTTGTAAAAAAAAAATATATGCGAAAACAGAAAATACATAAATTCCTGATCTTCAAATATTATCGAAATCAGATATTATGACGAAATTAATGTCTTCATTGAATAATTTCTTTCCCTACACACATGATACTGAATATAGGATTCTTTCCAAGATTTTCATAACGTCCTGTACATATCAGAAGCATCAAGAGCATATTCTATCAAAAATCTCAACACGTCAACATTTCCTTTTCTACTTATCAGGGCGTAATCAAATAGTCAAATTAATAGAACTTTCATGGAAGAGTCAGGTGATCCTCAGGGATCTGTTAGGAGCCATGCATATTTGGGGTAACCCCACCCTTTCCGCATATTGCTAAATATGACACTCACTGGACAAATGAAAGTTTTTTTCAATCAAATTTTCGTACTTATTTGATGTGCTCTCATCAAACCCGATATCATAACGAGAAGTTTCGAAGAATGTTAATTTTCAGATCTATAATTAGAAAAGCTTGAATACGTAGTTCGGCAATTCCAGACCAATTGGTAAGTCAGATAATCTTTATTTCCTTTCCACCTCTACTGAGGAAGGCAACTTACTTGTCGAAATACGTATTTAAACTTTTTGAAATATCAAGGTATTTTGGGTATATTTTGTATTTGTTCAAACTCAGTATTGTTGAATTATTTATAACGAACACTATCCTCATGACAATATAGAATATGTGCATGCAAACAATTGGAAGTAGTTCTGAAAATATTTTAGAATATAGAAGTGTAAGCTTACCCAAGACATTGTTCAGAAGGTCTTTTCACATCATCAGTCAATTCAGCTTCATAAATTTTATTAACCACTGAATTTCCCAATTCCACCATAACTTTGATGATTTCCGGCTCCCAATCATCCAGCGTCAATGACCGAACTTTGCTATAGTGTACTCCTAAGCTTCTATGAACTCCTGAACATTCTGAAATAAATATCGCTGTAGGTGGTTGTGCATAGATCAAGATTAGAATCTATAGATTTCATCAAAGAATATGTAATATTTTGTCTGTATCGAAAAAATTGAACCATTTGACATTTGAGCATAAGCAAAACTTACGCATTACATCAACACTTTAGATGAAACATAGTTGATTGTTTTTATAACCCCAAGAAACATATCTGTTTATAATAGGGATACATGAACACATATAAAAATAAGAATAATAATAATATTAAAAGGTAAACTCATGAATTTCACGCAGTGGAAACAAATTCATACTTTTTCTTATGATGAAAGTTATAACATTTTAATTCTGAGTAATCAAAGCATGCCTTATATTTTTCAATCAAATTGTCCAGAACAGGTATTGTTTATGATTGACTTTAAATCTGCTTATATCATGTATATCTTTCAATTCATCCGGTAATGAATTGTATAAAATTATTAAATTATGAAATATAGATTGTATGCCAATGTTCGACTTGAATTGTTTGTTTATTGTTTATTGTTTATTGAAAAACTAGCTTCCAGTCAGAAATAAAATTCTGGTATGAGGAATATATTATTATATATATTTGCTATCAAGTAATTCAATTGTCTAGTCCCAAAAGTATGGACTGTATTGACTTCATTTAAAGCTAAGTTTGATATTTTGAATTTATTCCTGGCAAAATGAATAAAACAACATATTTTGAGATAATATAAGGAAATCAGATTTAAAAATTGTCTAGGTTTGTCTAAATTCACTGTTGGTTCTAGAAAATTTAGATGAAAAATGCACTTAATTGATTTGTGTAGTAATTTCATTAGTGGTTAGAGGCGTGAAATATTTGTGCTCCCTCCAAAGATATTGTAAATTTGAATACATGAGGCAAAAGTAAATACACTTTAGGTATTTTACAGGAATGATATTTCGGATTTTGAATAAAATGCGTATGATTGGATTCATTTTATTTCTAAAACAGTCTATGTGTTTAGTCCACAATAATTTTTCATCAATATAGAGACCTGAAAATGTTGTTACCTCTGTATATTTAATGAATCTATTATTGAAAGATATTGCATAATTTTAAATATTACATGATCTCTTGGAGATTACATATAAGAAGATTTCTTACAATTAAGAGTCGACTTGCAAGTGCAGCCAAGATAATATGTTTTTCAAATCACTTTCACTATCCCGTTCATTTAATTCTTTCGATACATAAATCAACGTTGTATCATCTGCAAATGATTTGAGCTTTCCTTTCAATTTCAGAGTTGAAATTAAATTCATATGAATTAAAAATAAAATTGGTCCCAAAACTGATCCTAGCGGTACTCCACATGTGATATTCATATTTGAATCTTGTAAGGAAAATTAAATTGCAGTTGCAAGGAGGAGAGAAAATCACAAAAAATCTTGAATAATGAATGTACCACCTCCTCAATTAACCTACAGACAATATGAATATGGTTTAGTGATACATTTGATATGATGAAGTTTTTTTCTTTTTTCACCAATGCCAAGTATCATGCACCAAACCAATTGTGCCATGAAAATAGTTTATTTTTATACAATATTGAATCAAAATATATAATAGAACTCACCAATACATAGGGTTATTCCCAGGTTAATGCTAGCCCAACGTGGATTAGGACTTCCACAATCACAACAAAGGTTGTTTCCAGGAATTTTTAGTAACTGTTCCCACATTCTGAAATATTATATAGGTACTAGAATAGTTTTTTATAATTGACTGTCAATACTTGTTATCAGAATGATCATGATGAACACATAACGTCTATTATCGATAAGTTGTGAGGTTGTTAGCCAGTTGAAGAAATTGAAACCAAGTAAAAATGATTGACACCGATTTTTCAGTGCCGATGTGCGAATTTTTTCACAGAATAGTTTCCCATTGCGGAAAATATTCCACTGAATCATATCATGGCATGCATTGAGATGCTAGGATTTTCCACCTCAACAAAGGATCACTTTGAAAATTCGATGGAGACCATATTCGGATATGCTCTACCCAACTGAAATATTTTCGACAATGCGTTGCCGCTATTTCCATTATGAAGTACTAGCGACTCTTACCGTTTTTTGGTCCGATTGTTGTTATCATGCCTAGGCCTATTGGAAATGTAATCTGAATATCTTATGATACTGGAATCATTTTTCTTGGTCTGATCAAAATCAATACTCTGAACCCTCTGGATGGCAGCACCGATGCCCTTCTGTAAAGCTAGTATCCAACAATCGTACATTTCCTTCGAATCAGCCTGAAGCATGTGACTCCTGAAATGTTCAAAACTATGAGTTAAAAAAAACACTCATTCTTTCAAAATAATTAGACAATTCTTCGAGAAATTATCCATTTAGACAAAATAATTTCTAGCAACATAATCCACGATTCTGATAAAATACAAATTATTTCAAGACAAAAAAATAGCATTACAACTCACTTTGAAGGGGACAACACTTCAAAACAAAATCTTCTTTCCCCATCTAATACTGGTTTAACGGTACATAACCTCAAATCATCTTCCATTATTGTTTCATGTTCTTCTCCAGATCGCTTCCTATAAAAATAGTACAAACACATATAATGCAATATTTGCCATACACACAAATAACCCTCACCTATATACCAACTTGTTATCATAAAGATAAAACCACCTACGGTTCCATGTTTTAAAAGCGTTAGAGGTCCTTTTAAATAAATAACCTTCCATAGTAGGGGAATTCTTATCAGTTTTTACTGAAACTGGTTCCAGATTGGATACAATGGAATGTGTATTCTCCAATTCCTTCTGAACTCTGTATGATTCATCTCTCATAACCCCTATCTAAAAATATATGAATTCAAAATAGAAAGCGTCATTAATCAGTATTTTGTTTTTGAGGAATTTACAGTTCTTTTGCATTTTCATCTTTGTAAGAAATGCTTCAGTGGGCGTAATGCATACTTTCATCAAGAAACTTTCCTATCCAAGCCTGAGGATTTTTCAATCTATTATTCCTTGCATGGACAGTATGGACATATTTTAGATACATTCGATAATATGTTGACTAGCAAAAACGAATTATCCCAAATCGAAATATGGGATATATTCATTATTTCTAGTAGTATAGATTTCTGTAGTATATTGCACATTCCCTTAGGGAATAACGACGAGGGAACATTTACCCATTAACGGCCAAAGGTGCGTAAACGCAAATTTTCTATAATATTTTTTTCCACCACTAGCTATAGAACCTACCATTATTTAGTCCTTTTGAAGGCGTAAAGTGTGTTTTTACTACTAAGGTAGTTTTCATCATATTGTGAACTACTAGTCAATAAAGACATAGCCACCTCTGTTAAAATTAATCCGCATCCACTGTTCTGATGCAATATTCACAGTAATCGCAATCTAATCTAGTATGTATTTATCAATAACGACTTGTGATAAGCTGTCATGGTGACAAGATTTTAGTTAAAATTGCATAAAAATGGTTTCATAGTGACATAGGTCCAATTTTCAGTTTCACAGAACTATATAATGATTGAAATATATTGCTAATGCAGAAAAAAATGTATTTACCACAGGACCTTATACTCCTCGGAGTCTCTGGATATTATCTTGGTCCCTGGGTAATAATGATATTCTTTACTACCTTGGTGTATAAATAACAATTCATGGTGAGGATCAACCTCTCATTTTTATTATGATGGATATCTTTAACAATAGTACAGAAGGAGAGAAGATATTCTTGTTCGACCAAAAAAATGACTTCTTCAATCTATGAAAATTACTTGAAAATGTTATAAATTGACCGTTCATGTAGATCTTCATTTTCTTCAAGACTGAATATGAAAGGATACCAATCATTTCGTACTGATCGATGATAGGAAATATGCATAATGATAACATGTATACTCATTTTCATAAATATTTTGAGTAGTTCATTTTTGCATTTACTTCTGATGGTTGCGTATAAGCACCTTTGGCCGAAAAGAACATAAAGAAGTTCTTATACCCCACGCAAATGTTACACACCAGTATAATAGAATATCGACGGTGGAAATGCAACAGCGCGTATCAACACTTTTTTTCAAAATTCGATTAGTTGGCGCGTTTTAATCACCAGAACATGAAGAGTGATGGCTGCCTAATCGATGCAGAGATCTATTTCGTATCTGTAATAGCACGTAACTTCGAAAAACATGGCTGACATATCTAGATGGATGCCCTCACATTGTTCCCATTTTGAATAGATTTCATGGCTATTTGATCAATTATTATTGCATAGTAATAAGCTTATTGTTCAACAACATATTTACTGGTTTTTGTTTTTTGTTTTTGATTTTGTTTCATCATAACTTGTTTGTAAGTCTTTGAATTACCACTATGTAGTAACGTGGTATTGCAAATTCCCGTTTCCACTGACATGGAATATCATAACGTAGATACGAGAAAATTCAAGGCATTATGGATTAGATATCTACGTAAACAGTTAGGAAAAGCGTCATTTTGTATGACGATTGGACTCACGTGCAATATTTTTTCTGAATTTGCTGAAAAATTTCGCTTGAACGGAAAAAATGACCGGTTCTACATGAGTTTTACCGATTATGTAAAAAATATAGTAGGCAAGTTGACTCCCTATCTTCCTAAGTCACTTTGAAGTATTCGTGTCACAATAATGGTCACAAATCAGCAACGAAATTTACGAAATAAATTCGTTCGCTATTTCCATTAGTAGAAAATGCATATTCAAGTGCAGATTTATCTAGTGATAGCTGTCGAGGAAGCAGAACAAAAAGCTCTATTCTCTTTGTACATCCATATTTTTATGTCGTGACTGGTGTTGGAACAATAATGTTGGCCATTTTATGATAATGTGCCATAAAAATGAACACGTTATGCATGTTGAATTATATTTCCTTGTTTTATATTCGTTAAGATTTAATTCATTCATTAATTCATGAATTTCCCTTTTTTGATTTCATTCAAGAACTCAATTTAAAAATGAATTTAGATTGAAAATTTGTATACCGGGGTTATCGGTTGGGGTTCATTTCAATGAAAATATTTTCGAAATGACAGCACTTCCGGTCATACCGGAAGAAAACATCAACTTATGTGTTTCATGTGTTCATTTCTTGGTGCAGTTTATTCATTTATTTGCCACAGAATAATCGACCCCAAAAAATATTTTACAACTTTAGTCGATAAATTCTCAAAGATTCATGTGACTCACAAATTATATTATGTTTCTTACTCAGCAGATTTCATTAAATGAATGAGGAACCAATATCTAATAGAATATGGCTCAAATATACTTACTTCATCCGCCAACGTTTTGAAAAATGGTTCCAAATCTGCACACAAATCAGAGCCCTGATGATAATATGTAGTACAGGCATGCATGTATGACAACAACTACAATCCAAACAAGAAAACATTCATCAGTAGTTACAATAATGGGCAAAATGACCAGATGAAAAACTCAGCCATTGACATCTATCATTCTACATAAAAAAATGTAGGGAAAGCTTTTGAATGAAATATTTGTAGGATTTTTAGGTATGTCTACTCAAAACAATAATTTTCCATTCACTAAGTAAGTTCGAGGGTAAGTTTAACAGAACAAATATTATTATCAATATTATTTCCTTCTGTAAGAAAAAGACAATAAAAGGCAAAAAGTTAGTCGACCACAAAAATTATTTAATAAAAGTGAAGTGTTACTAGTTTTGGCCTCAGGCCATCATCAAACACAAAGATTGATGTATTAAAGAAGTACCTAAAAGAGATTCAGACACTATTAAGGAGTCAAAAAATGCTCAAATCTCTGAATCTCTTTTAGGTACTACTTTAATACATCAATCTTTGTGTCTGATAATGGCCTGTGGCTGAAACTAGTAACACTTCACTTCTATTGAATAATGTTTGTGGTCGACCGACTTTGTGCCTTTTATTGTTTTTTTTTTCTCAAAAATTAATTGGACCACTTTGAGAAATAAGGATGGTTTCTACGGTTTTACTTCTGATGTAGTCTCTTTGCAATGTGTTTTTTTAATCCCCTGATAAAAATATGTAGGAACATTGTGGGAATGATAACTATCATTTTCCGACTGATTAATGTAAAAATGAATACAAGAAACGATCAATTTTTTCAATAAATAGTCGATTATGGTGTAGGCAACTAAACATTCTCCGCGTCGTTTCACTAAGCTTATAACTCAGCTTATAATTTCCGAAATCTCCACGAAACGTACGTTTAGGTATTGTTTTGAACGTTTTTGGAACAATTTTGATCCAGAACGAAAATTTGTTGCCATGTTGATAATGTAGACAACTGTCATAATATGTTAGCGACAAAACATACTTTCGAAGTATCAATTATTGTCCTTCAGAGTTGTCACTTGAATTTCACAAAGCATCAACTGTTTTTCAGAATGGTCAAAGTATTAATTATTGTAATGATATTCCCCTTGGAGGGGCTTTAGAAACATCAGCAGGAAGGCAGGAGTACAACGATCATCCTGTATCACGCATCCCAGATTGCTCTCCAACCTCTCAATGATTCCTACATACACCAGCATATTTCCGAACACTCAATATATGCCGCAGTGACAAATAACGTCACAGAAGATTCTGGAATGTTCTGGAAACAATCGATGGAACAATTAGAGAGAGAGGTTTTTTTCTAAGCATAGTGGAAGGAGGAGATGGTGTGCCTACGCGCATATTATCTGACGTCATCTGGGATACCAATATCAGCTGCTAGTCACAGACAGATACCGTTGCCATGGGCGTGCGCAATGAATTCAATTATGTTTATTCAAATTTATCGAAATTATTTCATTCAATTTTAGTACTTATATAATATCTGAATTTCGAGACATCAATCACGAAACCAAATAATAACAATGACAGTTATATCCCAGCTGACGTCATGCGCAGAACAAGACGAGTTTGAGATTTCTGTTGAGCACACCATCTTCTCCTTCCACTATGGTTCTAAGAAGCTTCTAGAACAAAAAGAATGAGACGGAAGATCATTCGAGAACCTTCTCGAACCAAAGCCTGCCAAGTGATCTCATATATAAACGGCCGAACAACTGCTGTCAGTCAGTTAAGCAGCGAGTGTCAGAGAGACAGTTATATACCGCATGATATAAATCGTTTTACATAAATAGTAGTTATAAGTTCGATATGAATTAGTGTTTCTTTAGTTAAAATAAATCAGTTCGAAAATAAATAGTGTCGTGTTCGCTTCTGCACCCGAATAACGTAACATTATGTTCCAGAATAGTTAAATGAATTTGAGAAAGCATCAGGAAACATCATTAGAATTTCAGAAAGCGCCAATTGAATTTCAGAAAGCGACAATTGAATTTCATAAAACGACAATTGTACTCCAGAATAACTATTTGTATTTCATAAAAGTCAGGTAAACTGAAAGTGTCGGAATAAGAAATTAGCAAGGTATCGTTAAAAAGAGTACGAATAACTTTCTTCACGATTTTCAATGACAAAATGTTACAATTGGGGTTGGACATGTTTCAGGCATATCATAAGCCCATCATCAGCCAGATATACTCAAACTCCTGAAAGGTGTGTACAAAAACTCAGCAGATAGTCCTGAGGCCAAAATAAGCCGATTTAAAGCAACTTACCTCAGTCCGAAATTGCTCCTTTTCCGAGATCCAAAAGAGTATTTTGAAAAATCCATTTTTGCATTGTTCATTCACTGACAAATTAACATTCACGCAGATAACAACAAACATATTTAATTCAAAATGATTTGAATATTCCAGTGCCGCATCGAACACTGAAATCCGAAATATCTCAAGAACGGCTTACTTTAGCGAATTTTTTCAGGTGTACCTATTTTGCTTGAAAATATCCAAAAAATTATTTACTCAATAAAGAGAGTGAAAAACTACACTGAGAAAAAAATTATGGCCATTCTGAACCAAAAGAAGTGCATTGGTAAGCGCCCTATAATGGTCCGTATTCGAGTTTCGCATCCCAAAAAGGCTCCGGCCACCAATTTTCAAAGTGGTACGTTTAAAACTGTTCATACATTTAAAAAAGTCTATTTTCATTTTTTCACTTTACCACCCTGTCACTCGGAATGGGAGCAATTTCGGACTGAGGTAAGTTGCTTTGAATCAGCTTATTTGGACCTCAGGAATATGTACTGAGGTTTTGTACAGACCTCTAAGGGACACCCTGTGTATATCTGGCTGATGATGGGTTTATGATAGGCCCGAAACATGTCCCATTTCGTCATTGAAAATCGTGGAGATATCTGGAGATTTTCCTTCCTTCAATTACCACCACTCCACTTTGAGCACTATCGACTTCTACACACGGTTACTAAATGTATTTCTTTATATGCATCCATTTTTTCATGTTCATATTATATCTGAGAATATTCCTTTTCAATAACCTATTTGATATTTTCTATCAAAATGTTCAATAACTTGGTTTTCAAGATAAACTAGTGTTGAAATCGTCAATCATAATATGTAAATTTAAATACTGTCAGTAGGTTAATCGAGCCTGTATCACGGTCATTCCGTATATTTGAACAGCTTCTACAGGGTTTATCATTGAAGATAGAGAAAAACTTCGAATGCAAAAGTTGTAGGGTTTGTTCTGAACCTCCAGAAAATAATATCAGATGAAACAAATGAATATCGCTGTTATAAGAAATGGGTACCAACTTCGGTATTTTCAATAGAACACTATACAGGGTGTAAATTTGAAAACTTCCAACGCGAATATCTCGCGAAAGAAAAAAGTTAGAAAAACGACGTTTGGCAAAAATGCTAAAGAGTTAAGGGGAACTAGAACCACCATATTTCGGTCAAGGGATGAGTCACCCCGTCGGCGCGACACACCCCAACTTTGAAATGTCAAATGGCACTACATTTTTTGTGATGCCTCAAATGAACAGTCTCAGTCAGTAGCATTCACCTGTACAAGACTTTTTTTCCACCCACTACAGGGTGTACGAAAAATATAAAGTCGAATAAAATAAAATGAATTGGTTTAAAAGGATATTTTATTTGATCAGATGTTCAAAATGCATTCCATTCTGTTGTAAGCAATAGTATAATCGATGTGCAAATGCCATTCTAACATTTTGGAACACATCTCTTGGAATATATCGGTATTCTGCATTTTATTTTATTCGACTTTATATTTTCCGTTCACCCTGTAGTGGGTGGAAAATAAGTCTTGTACAGGAGAATACTACTGACTGAGACCGTTCATTTTGAGGTATCACAAAAGAGGTAGTGCCATATTTGACATTTCAAAGATGGAGTGTGTCGCGCCGACGGGGTGGCTCATCCCTTTACTGAAGTATGGTGGTTCTAGTTCCCCCTAACTCTGTAGCATTTGTGCCAAACGGCGTTTTTCTAACTGTTATATTTAGCGAGATATTCGCATTGAAAGTTTTCAAATTTAGACCCTCGAATTAATGTTTTTCGTACACCCTGTAGTGGGTGGAAAAAAAGTCTTGTACAGGTGAATACTACTGACTGAGACCGTTCATTTGAGGTATCACAAAAGAGGTAGTGCCATTTGACATTTCAAAGTTGGGGTGTGTTGCGCTGACAGGGTGACTCAGTGCATAGAATTTCGGAAGAAATATGGGTTTCAGTAAAGATGCAAAGTTTGAAATGATTCGTTTATTCTACAAAAATAATAATAATGCAGTGAGAGCTCGAGCCACCTCATCGGAAAATATGGAAAAGAGTGGAATGGCCGCCGAACAGTCCAGATTTAACACCTTTAGATAACTTCCAATGGGGCTATTTGAAGAATGAAGTGTATAAGGAAAGAAGTAAAAATTTGGCTGATTTGAGAGGAAGAATTTTGGAATGCTAAAACATTGAACAATCATCACTCCAACTTCATTTGCAATTCGATAAATAAATTGGATGTAGACTACAGAAAATGTATACAGAACAACGGTGGTCACATCGAACATCTGTCAAAATGCATCTCCTTCAGTTATAAAAGTACGTTTTTTTTCTTTCATGGCAGTTGCGATTTGGTAAAATCTGAAATGTTCAACCTCGAATATCTCGAAAACAGCTGAACCAAATATCAATGACCTATATATTTTTGGAATCAGGAAGAAGAGATCTTGTATTTTTTCGAAAAATATATAGGGTGTTCTATTGAAAATACCGATGTTGGTACCCACTTTTTATATCAGCGATATTCATTTGTTTCATCTGGTATAATTTTCTGGAGGTTCAGAACAAACCCTACAACTTTTGCTTTTGACTTTTTTCTCTATCTTCAATGATGAACCCTGTAGGAGCTGTTTAAATATACGGAATGACCCTGTACATTCATTATTCCACATTTTTTGGGATTTTCTCTCCTCGTCTCGATGAAGTAAAGTATGAATATTATTTCAATATGGCCAAGTTCGTCTATGCGCTGAAATTTGCTAGATAGCCGTTCACGATGCGAAGGTACTGTCGGTTCGAATCCGGCTATCGGCTGAGCATTTTTCTTCGAAAATGTGTGATTCATGGTTTTAATCCTGGCAGCATCTCGATGCCCTACGACTGGTTCGGATTCCACTATGAGCTGTAGGTCCCGCTCTTCCTAACCCTGCACAAGTTTCGACTTCTGGGGAGTTGGTTCCCAACTTCGAAGTAGCAATATACAAATTTTACATTTTTTTTTTAATATACGTATAGTAAGGGCAAATCAGACTGCCTTTGAAGAATTTAATATTTGATATTTTTTTATATACTTTTATTTCCCTTCTCCAAACCTCTTTCATTTCAATACAAATTGTCACTGACAAGCTGGTGAATTTTTCTGTTAGGCTCTCTGATAGGAAAATTCTTTGAACACAGTGAGATTTTGGGGCAAATCCTCTGATTTGTCCTTACTACACATATATTGAAATAATATTCATATTTTTATTTTATATAGACGAGGAGAGGAAATTCCAAAAAATCTGGAATAATCAATCATATTTGTTGATATGGAGTGGAATGATTTTTGAAAAGTTACATAAAAGAAATGAACAAAAATACTTACTGTGCTCAATATTTCATATCTTTTTTTGGACTGCAGAACACTTATGCTATTCACATAATCCAAAGATTGGTGTCCAAAACACGATCTCACGGCAACCAATATATTTTGAACTTCTTCAACCTCTTGTTGTTTACTTCGAGGTGTATGTGAATTCCTGGCAAGAATAGAGTCATATTCTGTTGATATTTTTTCAAAGTGATGTTTGAAGTCATGTACTTTCTTGATATCACTGAAATAATAATAATAATAATATCATTGATAGTAATTTTTGGAAAATTAAAAATTTTACTACAATCTACAATCATGATAATGTTGAAAATTATTCACTTACTTCTTCACAAATGATGTGAGATTCTTTAATATGGTACGTGATGCTTGATCTAGTAAAATAGTGTGGAATTTATTCATTTCTTGTAAACTGTGGATCAATTTATTCAATGACGAGAGCACCATTGGATCATCATTGAAATGTGTACTCAAATCCCACAAACTGTTCGCAAATAGGCTGAAAATAATTTGTTGACACTTCAGGTGAATTTTCTTCTTGATAATGAATTTTCATATTGCAATCATAAAAGCAGATCTCGATGAAAAAATATAATACCAAAGAAAAATTAAAATTATTCGATAAATAGTGATCCATTTTATCCGCGAGTAGTTTGTTTCCGAAAGCCACTATGATCTACAAAGCACAGATAGAGCCGACCTTAAAATATTGCTTCTACACTCAAACATACTCTGATGGTCTCAGATTAGTCTATTCAGTGACGAGTCTGATCGGTAATGCCACTCGTGAGAAGTTCTGCAAAGTATATGGAACACTGTAGGAGTTGGCAATCTTTCACTTTTATATAAAATGTCATCAGCCTTGAGAATTGTCAAACAACTTCTCATAAATAGGTCATTGTGCTAGTATAATTATTTTGGATTTGAAAATATGCAATCTTATTCTGTGGTTATTTGTCAAAATGAAATAAATATCTTCAAAATAAATAATATTTTCCTCAAGCTGGATGTAATTCATCTTGGAAAATCATTCATTTGTCTCGTCTCGTCTCATTGAATACTGTTTCAACAATATTTGGTTTCAGCAAATCATAATTTCATCAAAATTCGATTGATGTTTTCGAAATTGAACATCGTAATGGACATAGCCCTTACAAAGAGATCACCGAATACACGTGATTCGGGCTTTCGGCCCTCATCAGTACGGTGAAAGGAAGTGCAAAGGATAGGCAGCACTTGGTAGAAAACGAAACAAATGAACGGATATATCGAAGACTGGAACCTTTGGCACGATAATACACTACACTGTTTTACCACTAACATAGTTAGCGAAACACGTGTCGAGGCGTTTAAAAAATCGGCTTGGTTAGTGGTAAAACAGTGTAGTGAAATAAACGGAGTCAACAAATAGAAACCAGCCGCACATTTGTGGTTTCGGTCAGCCGACCCTGAGGTCTCAGAGAAACAGCTAACGTCACCCAATGAACTCTCAATGTAAAACGTCACAGAGACAGCTATCCAGAAAGAACAAAAACATCTCAAATGTTAAAAGTACGAGATGTCGAGACATTGAACCTTCACTGCCATGTCCTGTTCACACATGAATAGATTTTCATAAAACAATGAATGTCCGCCGCAGACGAATCATTTTGTAAGTTAGCAGATAGGTTATTTTCCAATTTTCAGAATTATGGGATCTTGTCGAAGAGAGAAATTATGAGTTCGTAGAAAAAGTATAGTATTTAACGCGTTTATGAACTCTTCTAGACACTCGTTTATTAAACAGTCGCTCCACTCTGCTTAGAATACTCGTTACTAGAATGACGTTTATAACACATTACCATGGCAACACAGTTTTTAAACACACCTGCAGTCGTTCAAGTCCTGTCTTATTTTTTTATGATTCTATTTTATTTTGATTGTCAAGGACATCGAAGAATAAATTTCAATTGGAAATCGAAAAGCAGATGAACAGTAAAAGTATTGCACATATTTAGACTAAAAAAGACACTCCTGGTGGCAGAAGAGGATGTGCGCCTCCTAACTCACAACACGATAAAGGAGACACGTGAGAATCGTTGTACTCTTGCCAAGTATTCTGATGGGGATGACGACAATAAGCCGTGTAGTGGCCGTTGGAAATGATACCGCTATGGTTGGATGGCATACAGTTCATAGCGAGGACTACGCTCTTGGAGGCGTATCGTCCCATGTCTAGTAGTCTAGTCCATCCAACTGGAAGTCCACTAAGACACTCAGCTTGCCGTAGGAATTTTTCGTCGATGGGAAATGTTTCAAATGTATGATTAGAATTTTTGAAAACTTTTGAATCGAGATTGATTCCGAAAGTTTTTGTCTTTTATTGCACATGAACTTGGTGGTCATCGGGGCACTGGGCGAGACTGAGCGGTCCTGTCAGTTGTGGGATGGAAAGCGATAAGTCCTAGAAGGGGTCGAACGTAACTGAGCAGTAGCCGCACATCGTGCAACGTATCTTCGACTTCAGCTGTCCGACGAAATGGTCGAATAACTCGGAGTTTTTCCGGTTGAAAGTACAGCGTGGGTAAAATTGGGCATTTTCACGGGCTATCTCAAAAACGAAAGGAGTTATCGAAAAACCGATATACATGTCACGGGTTCGATTTCAAAGAAGCCTGAAATGTAACATTCGGAATTTCGATATCTTCATCCGTTTCAGAGATACAGGGGGAAATTGAAACATTTCGTTTTCATTCTCAGAGTCCTTTATGGTGGGGAATATAGAAAATTTTCGAAAGTTTATTCGTATAGTACAACAATCCATTGGTACCATTTGAAATTTTATACAGGGTGACATTAAAAAGATACGGCATCCAATTATATTTTTTCTTATGGAACACACCGTATATTTTGGCACAGTTAGATAACCCTAGGCGTTCCAATTCCAAATATACCATTTTCTTCCACAACTTTAGAAATATTCGCAAAAATATATTCAATATATTCAAATGACACTCTGTATATATTAACCAAAGGACGAAAATAAATATCCAGACAAATGAATATTTGATAAGAAAGAAAAAGTAACTATTCGGTTTGATATCATTGTTATCAACACATTCAACTCCGATTAACTTGAAATTTGGCAGGTGTTCATAATTTCGGTGACAATAAATTATGGAATTTTTGTTGAAATTAAAAAAAATGGCTGCTCCAAGATGGCGGACAAGATTTGGTCCGATTCCATTCAAAATTGGTAAGTAGGTGTTTTCGAGGTCGAAGATCATGATTTTTTTGATAAAATTTATAAATTCAAGATGGCGGCTTCCAAATAATTTTTTGTTTTTGTGTAAATGACGATAACTCCGTTGTTATCAACACAAAACTATTACTGCGACTTATCATCTGTAAGAGAAAAAAAAGTTATTTGTAACTAAGTCATAGTGAGCTATGACCTACATTTGAAAAACTAAAGTTGGTGCTGATATCTCAAATTCTAGAAGAGTTGGTATAAATTTCATATTTTTTTCGAAATCACTTTGAAAAACTGCCATGAGAAAGTGAAATTCCTATTTGAATATTTTCATAAATAAAGAAGTTACGGAGGAGACATGAAAATGATCAAAATCTGTTTTTTGCGTATAAAACAAAAACGAATGGATTTTATCAAAATATTTTTTCACATTATAGTTGGCCTTGACAAACTCCACATTTGGTATCATTTAACCGACCTCGTATCTCTTACCGTTTAAAAGATACCCATGGTGAGCATGGTAAGTGGGACACCCTGTATACAGTGTCATTTTCAACCGATATTGTAAGTATTTCTCGGTGATTCCATAGCTGCTGGGGAGCAGTGTTATCACTGGAGTTATTCCCCCTAGGTCCTTGAGGGGATCATTGGCATCACTCTCACAGTTGCGAATTTATGAATCCAACCTCAATGATTATTGCGGAAGATACAGAGGTGTAACCATGAAAAATGTGACACGCTGAAAATATTTTTGCGAATATTTCTGGAGTTGTGGAAGAAAAAGTTATAGTTATATACAGGGCGTCCGCTAAAAGGAGGTCAATCCATTAACCATATATTCCTTGAACAAAAATAATATGAGTTTCTAAATACCATTTTTCATTTTAGCCCTTCTTATTCGATATACAGGGTGTCAAAGTTGAAAATGAAAAACTGTTTTTTTCTAATTACTCGCGTAATTAATAAGATATTAATCTCAAAATAGGTACATTACTTCAGCACAAAGAGTTACATCGTGTGAGGAAAACAAAACAGAAAATAACTGTCAAATATTCAAAATACTGGGGGTCAAGTACACACTTACCCCCATATTTTTTTTGTACGTGCGCTAATGACTTCCTATCAATTTTTCTTCATGTGTTCAATCATTTTTGAGTATTTTTTGATTTTTGTAAAATTCCGATAAAATTATTTGTTTTTAAGATAATTCGAACAGTACTGATTATTGTTTGATGCCTTGCGGCTTACGGTAATCTCATAATGTTCACATACTCCTATTTATTTCGTCGAAATTGGAAGAGGGCGTATCTTATTACGTACGGAAAGGTGAATATGGAAATACTAGGTGCTCAGAGCGAATGTATTAAAATAATTTTTACACTTTTTAAATTTTTTTTTTTGTAAAAATTATTTTAGTACATTTGCTCCGAGCACCCGGTATTTCCATATTTACCTTTTCGTACGTAAAAAGATACGCCCTCTTTCAATTTCGACGAAATAAATAGGAGTATGTGAACATTATGAGATTACCTAAGCCGCATAGGCATCAAACAATAACCAGTACTTTTCGAATTATCTTAAAAACAAATGATTCAATCGAAATTTTACAGGAAACAAAAAATACTCAAAAATGATTGAACACTTGAAGGAAAATAGATAGGAAGTCATTAGCGCACGTACAAACAAAATATGGGGGTAAGTGTGAACTTGACCCCCAGTATCTTGAATATTTGACAGTTATTTTCTGTTTTGTTTTCCTCACACGATGCAACTCTTTGTGCTGAAGTAATGTACCAATTTTGAGATTAATATCTTATCAAATACGCGAGTAATTAGAAAAAACCAGTTTTTAATTTCCAACTTTGACATCCTGTATACCGAATATGAAGGGCTAAAATGAAAAATGATATTTAGAAACTCATATTGTTTTTGTTCAAGGAATATGTGGTTAATGGATTGACCTCCTTTTAGCGGACACCCTGTATATATTTGGCATTGGAACGCGTAGGACTATTCAACTGTGCCAAAATATACGGGGAACCCGTAACGTGTATATCGGTTTTTCAATAACTTCTTTCGTTATTGAGATAGCCCCTGAAAACGCCCAATTTTGCCCACCCTGTACTTCGACCATAATACAGATGCGTTGATGTTGTTGCTCGTTTGTCAGCGATCACCACAACTCTTGGCTTCGGCTTGTCGATCATCCTGTTGACATCCTCATGCAGACCTTGGAGCAAGATGCAAAGGAACTCTTGCGCGTCCGGCTGTGAGGAACCGATGAATCTTGGTGTGAAACGCTGTATCTGGCTCTCAAGCAACGGCGTGACGATAACTCGTTTCGACGTGTACTCTGACCATAACTCCTTGATCACCCCCGCGAACGCTTTAATCAATTACCCCTTCATGCTGCATGTAGTGGTGTATGTCTTAGACATAGATGCCCCTCAGTAGGACCCCAAATAAACCTAGCAGACCCATTTTAATATTCGAGATTTGCAATAGTCCTATAATTTGTTTCTTATTTAGTACTAATTTATCATCATATTCGCTTTATTACCCTTCATTTAACAGAAAAAATCAACGGCTCTGTTAGCTTTATGTGAACCTATTAGAACCATAGCTGAAAATTTATTTATTTGAGAATTTCTCAGAGAATTTCAAATATACCATAGTTCATAAATATTCAATTACTAACTTATAACTATAATTATAAATGTTTTCCTACGACCAACTATGAAAACAGCACGAAACACATTGATTTGTTATTGAGAAAGTGACTCGTTTCACTATGACAAAATGTCACAGTTAGAAAGTTCGAAATCAAAACTCACATGGGTGGAAATATTCGAAAATCGCACAGTAACAGGGTCTATAGATTATGATGTACCAATGAATGATAATTATGCTGAATTATGGTAAGTTAAGTTATGGTCAAGTTAATGGGAAGTTAGTGTCGATTTAACATGAGTTATTGTCGTTAATGTTGACGTAATGTTAAGTTGATGAAAAGTTGAAATCAAGTTAATTTCAATTGAGAGTTGAATTAATGTCAATGTATTGGCAATTTAGTGATTATTGTGAAGTTAATGTCAATTTGATATTGAGTTGATGTAAATTTGATTTCAAGGTAATGTCAAGTTAATTTTGAGTTAATGTAGATATAATGTTGAGTTGATGTTGAATAATTATTGAGTTAATGTTAAGTTGATGTTAAGTCAATGTTAGGTTAATTTTAACTGAAAGTTGAGTTGTTGTTGAGTTAATGTTAAGTTAATTTCAAGTTAATGTTAAGACACTGTTAAATTTATGTTAAGTTGATGTTAAGTTGATGTTAAGTTGATGTTAAGTTAATGTTGAGTTAATGTTAAGTTCATATTGAGTTGATGTTAATTTAACGTTAAACTAATGATGCCATTTAAATATTGAAGTAAAATTAAATAATAATGATAATAATATCACCTTCATGTGATCGAATATAATTAGAAACATGATCCCTACTCTGTTCTTATAAAAACTCATGACATATAACAAACTGATCAAGGCATTTCTGTAGTGGACCAAACAATAACCAATCAGATTCAAATAAAAAACGACGTTTTTCAAGATGTTGCGGCATCTGCTATATTACAGCATGCAACAAACACAAATTGCACTTTCAATTTCAATATTTACCATCGTTAATGTTTTAGTTATTGTTATTTAAATGTTCCTCAAATAAGTTTCTTATTATAGTGATGAAAAAAAATCTATTTCATTATTTTTCAGTGCATGAAAATATCGTGCGGAAAATTTACTTCACCGCACTAGTGCTAAAAAGTTACTTTTCCGCACGATTTTTGTGTTGTTGAAAATGAGGATATTTAGGACTAACTAAATGATCCATGTAACTATTTTGTCCTATGTGTCATTTTGTAGCAACATTATGAAATATTGTTTATTAAAAACCTTTTTTTATAAATAATATGGACAAAAGCACTTGTAGGAAAAACGTTGTACCTAACTCTTGGAGAAAATGTCTTTTCTGTCCTTGACAACTTGCCCAAACTTTACAAACTGCCGTTGCGTGTGGAAAAGTACTACTTTCTGCACTTGTTAGGTAAATAACTATGAAAAGAAACGCCGATTTGACAATCTCGATCTCAACCTAGCAGAACCACAACTCTAATCACATGTTATTTGAAATTCTATTGATTCATCAATAAGTTACTAGTCTTTTACTAAATTATTACCTCATGCGCAAATTTGCAACCTTTCTTTCATCAGCAAAAAGGGTTCCAAATTTGGGAAAGTGGTAATAAGTTACTAATAAACTAGTAACTTATTGATGACTCATTATAATGTTCAATAACATGTGAATCGGCGTTTTTTTTTATCCAATGATGAGTACAAAGTACATGATTATATTAGTAATTAAATAGTAATAAATCATGGTGTATTTTAAGATTTCAAAAAAATAAAATTTCAACTATGGTTCTGCTAGGTTGACATAATGCTAGCAGAGCCCTTGATTTTTTCTGTTAAATGAAGGGTAATAAATTCGCAAATATGGTAATAAATTAGTAACAAATTATAGGACTATTAATCTGAAATATTAAAATGGTTCTGCTAAGTTTATGGGGTATGTGAATAACATTTTACACCTATGTGCATATAATTATTTTATATATATTATTTCTGATACTGGGACCCTTTCTATTTTCACACATAACCCTGTAGTATACACAGATCCCTATGGTATGATGATCAACCTAACTACAATAATAGTTTACCAGTTCAAAGTTTGGAAACACATAACTTTGTATACTTTCATAATTGCACCATGTTTATGTGAGAAATATAAACTTCATATGAATGTCTTGGTAATCAGATGGTTAACATATTGATTTTAGTTTGATTCAAGCTTTGAATATTGAGTAAAAGGCAGTTATATTGGCTATTACTTTCAGCTGGTTTATCTAAGAATATTGATATGCTGTGGTCATTCCTGCCTTCAATGTGTTACCTATATGTTTATGCAGGTCTGGAGGTGAGGTATGACATTGGTGAGCCATTCATTTTTGTAGTCCTGTAAATGAATTGCTGCCAGAAAACTGGTAGTTAGGTTCTCAGAAGAGTATTGACAGATATCCTGAACATATTATGACCATATCTGAGTAGAATTCAGTATCACTAACACAGGGTCAATGTGTTAAGTACTTGCAAAACATAGGTATTTCCTCCTGCACTGCTCTTTTACCAGTTACAAGAATTAGGAACTATTTACTTCAATAAAATCCATGAAAATAGAAACAAACCTCTGTTGTCCAACATATGTTTTTCCAGAATCAACCATTGATCCACAAATTTTTAAAATTTTATCCAGCTTGGACTCCAGTTGATCTACACTCAACTCTTCCTCCTCCAGTAAACTCCTGAAGATGTATAGATATAATTTAAATTTGAAATCCAATTCTTCAACATTTCAAGCTTACCTGAACTTAGGAGAATCCCGAAGACATTCTTGCAATTCTATTCTTCCAACCATTTTTCACTTTCAAAATACACCACTCAATACTCATGAGCCCATTCCCATTACAAAATATTTATGTATGCTCCTGTTTGTGTTAAATTCTCTGAAGCTGAGTCATCCAGATTCCAGAGCGAGAAACATTAACTCATCAAATTAGCCATCCACTGATTAAAAACAGTTTACCATAATAATAATAATAATATAAATAATAATGAAGTGACAGCAAAGTCGAGTACCCTTGTGACATTGACATCTGACATCATCATCTGACGCACTTTAAAGATTATTTTTCACCGTAGGCACGTATGAGATTGATTCCACCCACGGCGGCAAATTTGAAATCTGATTAATCATTCCAGAATTACGTCATTTGACAGGTTGCTGAGGGGCAAACATTGTATTTTGTCATGATCTGTCATAGAAAACCAGAATTGGTGAGATCGTTTTCCTTGAAATCCGAGTTGGAACTAGAAAGAATTTCATAATTTTGTTTGGTGAAACTGTTATTATATTGTGGATGTGGCAGAGAGACGGCCTGGGCAATGCTCATGAAAGGTAACCTAACAGATAGTTGGTGTGCCCCTCAAGAAACCATGTCAAAATCACGTGTTCTGGAATGATCAATTGCGAATAAAATCTGTCTTGTTGATGATTGGTGGAGGTGATATACAGGTTGTTTCATTGGGGAAGATATATATATACTCCAGTGGATTAGGGTCCCTTGATGGAAATTGACGTCATCTTAACAGGGTACGGACAGATCATTTAGAGGTATTCCGTTCCAGTGGATGAAGTCATACTTAGAAAATAGATCGATACAAGTAGAAGTACCATTTTCTTCAAACGGTGAAAAGTCAAATAATGTACGATCTCGTGTAGACACGCTCACGTGCGGGGTACCTCACGAATTCTTCCATATCGTTAGTGATTTTCGAAAAAAAATTGCACCTGTATACAAAATATCTTCTCAACCCCGTTCAATTTTATTATCATCATTAGTCATAGATAAATCATGTTCTGTTCGGAAATTAATCGGTTAGCAGCATGATACAACTTATTAGTCATTCATTCGGAATCAGGTGGTAAATCAAGACAGTCTTATATTAGATGTCATAACGTACGGACGAATTATGTGATCGACATCGAAAAATACGCGAAAGGAATTTATCGTTCCAAACTGAGTGTTCTCTAAGAACTGAGTGATCGTATTGATTCGTATATAGTGTTTTTGTATTCCTCATTCGATTCAATAATAATAATAATATCGGGATCGTGCGTTGTTCTAGTGTTTCGTGTTGTTTCATCAAAGCCTCAATTATATTCGTACGGAAGGCGATATATTGATTACCTTTCCAGGTTCTCAAACAGACAGATTGACAGATATTCAGCTTTATGTCTCTATGGAAACACGACAGGTACCCTTACGAGGGGAGAGTATCAACTCTGCGTTTATAAATCTTCTCTGCAAAGGAGGTAGGCACATGGCGGATTAGGTATATACATCATCAGTGTTCCTCATTGCAAAAAAAATTGTTGTTTATCTGCCTGCCTCGTCTTCATTGAGATAGTTGATGAATTGATGAATTATAAAAATATATATAGCGTTTCAGTTACGAATTTGAAAACAATATCCAGACTTTTGATAGATTAATATTCTATGGTTGTCTCACGATTCATATTTGAAATTGATCCTTAGTTTAAGATCCGAACAGCACATTGTTTGGCATGCAAAGGTACTTAATATAACCCACGTAATTGGAAATGTGGAAGATGCCTACTGGAAAAACCACTATATATCCGGAAAGAAAGCGGATATGTAGCAATCCAGTTACGGACGATGAAAATATCATTCAGGTATGTCTGCTTATACTGCTTCTATTTTTCAACTTATAGTTCAGTGGGTCTAGTCTCCCCATAGTGATAATTTCACTGGGAGAAATGTTTTTGGAATAGTCACAATCACTTAACTTACATGCACAACACAAATGTTTTAGAATAGAAAAAGGCACGCATAGTGGCTATAAAAAAATTCAACTACCTTATTTTCACGAAACAAAATAAAATAGGAAAATGATGATTAAACTACTTCAATTTTTGTGCATTTTTTCCATATCCACTACGATTGATTGCAGTGTTATGCACACTGAGAGAAACTGGATATTAAAAATATCTACCAGCTCTGATTGTAATAACCTTTATAAGGAAATCTCCTATTCCTGATCATTTTATTATTACAACAGTATTCTCTCCATTCTGTAATTATAAAAATCGATTTCTTAAATCATTTGTAATACCCTTGAATGGACATTTGCTACCATCATAACGCAGGTGTGTTATGACATTATGAAAATTTTATAAATTCCAGTCTATTCAGATTTTTTATTGACGTTTTGTGAATTATGCTCATTGGCGAATTCAGATAATGTTTGTCCCAATAATCATAGCTGTTTGGGTTTCTAGCATTGTACGTTGACGAATAACTCTAGCAATTCACATGGTATGACGGTTATTAGGCAATCATTCGACAATCGTAATTCGGCTCATTCGCTCTAGTGTTTCATTAGTATTGTGGCTGACAAAGATACAGATCGCGTTCATTTCTCTGTTCTCGGTCATGGGTGCCCGTGTTCAATTATTGTTCAATGGTTTCGATCGTCCGAATATCGAAAGAGCCGTGTCTTGTTGGTGAATGTCTGTGATGTAGCAAACATTTTGTTTTAGTGCTGGCTGTGAACCGATCTGTGAAATACACCGTGCATTGCATTATTGCAATGAAAAAAGTATTCTCCATACCCACTTTTCAAGGCCTAAAATTGGTTTATTTCAAAAACAAAATGATCGATGAGATTCTGAATCAAAATATCTGGGTTTCTGTGAGGGAAGTTTTATTGACAATTCTCATCATAACTCCGAAGGAAGGGTAAATATAAGCATTCAACTTCTCATTTCTTAATAAATTCGTCAGTAATGCCTATAGATGATATTTCTCTGAACAAATCAATGAGTAATGTCAAAAAACTTCCACAGATACCCCAATATTTCAATTCAGAGACTGAACGTATTTTTTTGTTTTTTTGAAAACAATAACTTTGGATCATGAAAAGTGATAGTGTGGATAGGATATTTATTTTCATTGCAGTAATTCAAAGCACGGTTTCATAATGCATACCATCGAATAATGTTGATAACTTTATATTACCACTGTTTGATGAATATACTAGAGTAGAAAAATATTGGGATAACTGTTGAAAATGAGCTACATTACAATAGCATGTCGAAATGTCAGGTTTCATGCAGATATCAGATAACTATAATAAAATGAGACGAATTACTGCGTTACCTCAAGATGGTTGTGCCAGTAATAAAAACATGCTGTTTTATGTCGATAGTCTAATAACCAACTGTAGAGTGGAGAGTTACTGCAACATTTTGTGGGAATAATTCCTATTCGACATTCTGTGTTATCATAGAAACTAGAACAAGTAGTAGTTATTCAGCAGCGGTGTTTTTATACAAGTTTGCAAATTGAATAAGCTGCCATAACTAAAAGTCACCTGAAAATTCACTTCATCTATGGTAGCACATGAACACATCTGTCCCCCATTTATAGCAGATATCGTAATAACGGTTATCAGATTTCCAATTGTGATAACTCAAGTATTCTCTCAGTGCATAATATCTGAGATGTAACAATATTTTTAATTTTAAATCATCTCCAGCAGCCCCCTAGCCTTAACTCCTTCAGGTGACATTTTTCGACTCATGTCGTTCATTGAAACTTTTCTTCCTATTTCTTGTCGTAAAAACTGCTGGTGAAGTTATTTGGTAGGCTAATTTCGGGACAGCCTGTATACAGGGGATCATGAAAAAATCAATATATAATTACTTTCAACATCCTATAGGTATCTCAAAAACGAAGCAATAAGACACATTATCATATGGACTGTGTTCCTAAATGGACAAAAATGTAGAGAAAAATCAGGTATAAGAGACATAGATATCTGGTCCGTATTAGAAAAAATAAAGTTGAGGGTGATTCCCGCAAAACGAAACGTCGCATTAAAAATGGAAGCCGCACATCGGAGCAAATTTGAAACACGAAAGAAATTTTATTGAACCGATTTCCAACTTCCTAAAAATGAAGACGCCAGCGGAAAGAAAAGAACACCGCAGCCATTTCGGTTTCGCCCCACGTGATATTCTCAATTTGGAAATATATCGTTCCATTATTGTTTATTGAAATAGACAACTTCAGTCAAATTCAACCAAATTCGTATCATTTAGTAGGAACCGTTTCTGAGATGCCAATTAATATATTGGTATGACTTGAATTATTAATATTCCTAAAATACACATTCCTCAAATAGAATATATAGATTTGATATTTATTTTCATATAGTTATAGCTTAGAACTTACATTATTCAGTAATTGCAAACTATGGATTTTCCTTAAATTCAAAATGCTGTAATATGTCTGGAGTTGACAAACTTTTTTTCAAACCACTTGAAGTCGAAGCAGCAGATACAAATTCACTAGAAACTACCGAGTGCATATTTGAAACTTGAAAGAGATCTAATTTGGCAGAGTTTTTGTTGATCTTTTCTTTATAGTTATAGGAAATATCCGTTTGAAGGAGATTTTCTGTTTTGGCAATAGTTGGTTGATTATGATGGTCGTTACCATGACCACTGATCTTCTTTTTCCTCGGTTTCTTCTCCTTCTGTTTCTTTTCATTTATGATTTTGATGTTCGGAATTCCAGGGGCTTCTTTTCTTTCGAATATTTTGACAATTTTCTCATCTTCTTTGATCTGACTTTTGCTGCAGCAAGGCTTATTCACCACTTTTTCCAACTTTTCTGGGGTTTCATTTTGAATTCTGACACTTCGTGAACCATGTGAATTGCCATGATGGATGTATTTCAAATTATCATTCGTTTCACTCCTAGTTTTTTCAAGCTTCAACTTCTCAAATTTCAAATTCAAATTATCTACCTCCAATTGTAGACAGAGATTCTCATAAACTAAGCAACTATTTTGCTTCACAAGCTAAAAACAAACATATTCTATATACCGGGTGACACAGGAGCCTGTAGTTTTTTTATTTGAAGAGATAAAAATTTGAAATTCTCAAGGGTTATAATATTATCGATGATGACGCTTCTCTTGAACACAATGACAACTTTCTTCAACCATCTGTTTGATCGGAAGTAGACCCAACATTTTTTTGTTCAAATGGCACCCTGAATATGAAATTTTCTATTCAATTGTGTATCACAATATGATATTCGTTCATTAATTGGCTGTTAAATTGCATTTTATTGAAATACATGAAGTTACTAGAGTCTCGAGATCATACCCGTAGGTTCACCGAACACGCCCGATCGTTACCTAAGCGGTGGGGAGACCGAGACGTAAGCAGGCAGCCATACATACAAATGATACAATGAGTGGGCACTTGGGCTCTTGGGCAGGCAGCTTCTCTCATGCTGCCTCTTTTTGTAGTACGGGGTGGGCCACCAACAGTTTTCTTGATCACATTTCAACTTTTTTTTTTTTTCGAATAAATAAGAAACATTTGATAGGCATCAAGTGATCTACTGCGACCTATCAGATAATAAAAGCGATGATTTGATTTGCAATAATTCGCTATGTCACGACGAGTCCTACATGTAAATAGCGGACCACTCATCGAAAATCATGAAACTATATGTACATATTATATGCTTATGTTTTGTTGGCGAGGACGCTCGATTTATTCAAATTATTTTCGATAATGTTCATCTGCTTCACTAGAAATTATTATTAGTAGTTAGTAGTAGTAGTATACTAGTAGCAGCTTTGTTATTCAAAATGGAAGACCTTATATTTTATTACATTTTTCGATTTTTCTAATTGAGCTATGATTTCGTTGATCAAGCTCAAGGTATACCTATACCTACGTAGAATGTGAAAAATCGAGATTTTTTTGTATCGAAACTATACAATACCTATATATCGATTTGTCAAAATGGCTTTTACATGTGTCCCTATCCTAACATTCTATTTACTATCTACTGATGCCATTTAATTGAAACAAATACAGGGTGGATCAGATTTCAGAATTATATAGAAGAAGTACTAGAGTATGCCTACTAAAAAATATATATATACCTATTTGAAATAAACAAAACAAATATATCACATAAAAAAAAACACACTATAATATTCAACATAAAATGAAATTCAATCCCACTGGATGTATTTAAAAATATAAACAGTGTGCATGTCACTTTCTAATGGAATCAACCCGTATATCTAACGTAACTGTTCAATTTTCAGAAGCGATAGATATATATATATCAACTATGACCGTTGATTGATATATTACGCTTACGCGAAGCGTAAAATATCAATCAACGCTATGACCAAAGTGAAGTAATCTTCAGTGAAATACACTGCTCGGGTCATGGACCCACCAACATTTCCGGAAAATGATATTAGGAGGCAAGATAGGTTGAATATCACTTCGGATTCGAAATCAAGGACGTCCAATTCACTGACTATTCATATTGTTCCTGAGAAATGTTCAGTTCTGAAAAATCAAATTTTGTTTCAATTTACATGAAAGCACCCCCGTATCTCACGTAAGTATTCTATTCACAGCAGCAAGAAAGATACAATCAATGAGCAGTGTATATATATCACTGAAGATGTCCCCACTTGGTCAATGAGTTTATTTTTGGTAGGTACCTATATCTATATTCTATACCTATGGCTCTTGTAAATTTCAGAATCCAAATAACTGGACAATTACGTAAAATACAGGAGTGTTTCCATTAGATTGACAAATTTGACTCCAAAATAATTCTGGCACGCGCCAATATTCATAACGAGAGAAGCTGCCTGTTTACGTCTCCCACCGCTTAGGTAACGATCGGGCGAAGATCATTACTGAGACGATATTATCAGAATATTTTCTATACCCTAATCGGTCCCAGAAGATTGCCAATAATTTCATTGAGTTTAAAAAAATCATCCGAAAATAAGTCACGATATTGAGAAAACTAAGATAGAAACTCAGTTTTTTTCATATGGCTACTTGTGAAGAAACTACTTGACTTTCATTTTTGCCATAATATGATTATCCATTTGGATACATGAAACTGAAATTGTTGTAATAATTGAGGAATCGTCCTAATATCGTGAGTTATTTTCTGAAGATTTTTTTAAACTCAATGAAATTATTGGGGACCGATTAGGGTATGGAAAATATTCTGATATATCGTCTAAGTGATGATCTTTGGATTTTTAAGCCTATCAAGCATCGAAATGTCATTGTATTCGGGCCACAGACAACTTCATGTATTTCAATAAAATACAATTAAACAGCCAATTAATGAACGACTATCAAATTGTGAGACATAGTTGAATAGAGAATTTCAAGGCGAATAAGATAGACTAAAGAAATATACAGGGTGCCATTCGAAAAAAAAAGTTGGGTCTACTTCCAATCAATGGTTGAAAAAAATTGTTATTGGATTCAAGGGAAGTGCCATCATCGATAATATAACCCTTGGGAATTTCAAATTTTTATATCTTCAACTAGAAAAACTACAGGCTGTTACATGTGTCCTGTGTCACCCGGTATATACAGATTGTCTATGAAAACGTAAATTCTTCAACCATATTATGAATTCCTTGAACAAAAATGAATTATGACTTTGATAATTTCTCATTTTGAAACAAACTACTTCATCTAAATTTGACGATCTTTAGACTTTCCAAACACTATTATTGATGATTAATTAGGATTCAAATTGAGACAATGATTTTTAGAGATTTCAACAATTTTTTCTTCATATCACACTATGGGAGTCTAGCGGAAATGATTATATAGAGAATTAGGAAGTTCGCAATTGAAATTTTTCAACTTTAGGATTTGTTTGTGTCGAAATTATTCATTATTGGTCAAAACGGCTCACATGTCCCTATCTCGATTTTTGATTTACTATCTACTGACATTCAATTGAAACACATACAGGGTTATCAGAATTCTGTATCTTGAACCACCCTGTATTTGTTCCAATTAAATGTCAGTAGATAGAAAATCAAAAGTTGAGATAGGGTTATGTGAGCCGTTTTGACCAATAATGGAGTTTTGACAAAAAAAATCTCAAGTTGAAAAATCTCGATTTTGAACACCCTATATCCTGTAAACATTCTCGCAAGATGTAGTTGACGTAGGTATTCCAGCGTTTTTTATAATCCGGTTCTGGCGACCCACAGAGTCTCTGTTTCGTTTTTAATGGGCCACCCTGTATACCAGAGATATCCCGCTAAGGCAGTCTCTCTAAGAATAGGTATACCGAGTGTCAACGAATCTATGTGAAGAGGAGAGTTTTCGAATGTTTTTCATTTCTCCAGTCACTTCTGGTTTCACCGTAAATATGTCTCCAGTTTTGAATTTTTAACATGGATATTGCATTTCCAAGACAACTCTGGACCAGAGGAGGTTGAATGGATGCAAAGTTGCGCGATTTTATGCCTAACAAAATGCCGTTTTGAAATTTGAAAAATTTCGGATACTTCTGAAGATTTTTGGAAAAAAATCGGATATTCGCGATATCGTTTTTATTTTTTCATCTGCTGCAATATTACAGCATGCAACAAACACAAATTACACTTTCAATTTCAATATTTATCATCGTTAATGTTTTTGTTATTTTTATTTAAATGTTCATGAAAATATCGTGCGGAAAAGTTACTTTACCGTACTAGTGCTGAACTTTTTCGTACGATTTTCGTATTGTTGAAAATAAGGATATTTAGGACTAACTAAATGATCCATGTAACTATTCTGTCTTATATGTGTCATTTTGTAGCATCATTAAAAAATATTATTTATTTGAAACCTTTTTTTCGTAATAATATGGACAAATACACTCGTAGGAAAAACTTTGTACATAACTATTTTCCACCCTTGAAGATTTGCCTGAACTCCGCACGGCTCCGCGTTGTTTGTGCAACTGCTGTCGCGTGACGAAAAGTACTACTTTCCGCACTTGTTAGGTAAATAACTATTTTCTGAATTGTTTTTGAATATAGATGTAACAAACCAAATTACACAGTCTCATTGCGACTTTTGATTTACAAGATGGTGTTATCAGTTCTTCACCGACGTTTCGTCTTTGAGCTGCCATCATCGAATTGTGCTTTCAAATACGGCCCTGTACGGCGTAATGAGAATTTGTAAATTGTTTTGCTCCATCTATTCAAAGAGAGTAAGAAACAAATAAAAATTGATTAATTAGTTAAACATCTTCGGAAATTTGAAAAACGGCATTTTGTTAGTTATAAAATTGCGAAACTTTTCCTCCATCTAACCCTCTCTGTAGCATATCTACTCTAATTTCACTCACCCAGTATACGCCAAATAAATAAATACGAATTATTATTACTATTATTATCATTTTTTTTATATAAATATTTCCAAAGACTGGGAGTTTTTGGAAATATTGTTTTTTCACGGAAGCTGCAGGAAAAAAAAATTTTTTTTCACAAACGCTCAACAAAGTAGCCTTTGACGCTTTCAAATTCCAGCACAAAGTTGACGTTTTCCCAGAAATGTCATTCTTTGACAGCATTTGCGCTCGTGAGCGGAAATATTGAAAAAACGCTCGCACATCTCTGTAACCTATACTTATCTATTCTTGAAAACCCCCAATTCTGTCATGATGGAAAATAGTGACAGTGAATCATCAAACACACCTCCTTCCTGATGATATAGCAGAAAGCGCAAGAGTTTGAATCTCTTACCGGAGAAATCAAGGAAGAAATATGAATTACAATACCTTCATAAATTGGTGCCACTCCGAGATGGTGAATATGAATTCAGAAAACGTTTTACTGGCTTATTTTATTTTAAAAATCAATGACTTTGAAGTTCATCAGATATAATTCAATGTTCGACGAGGCAAATAGCCAGGAAAGTAGCTGTTTTCTGTTGAATATTCAGAATGATGTGTGCATATACATATTTTTATCTGAAGGAGAATGCAAATTCTCAATTTCAGAAGTTTTTATATTTTATTTTCAAACTCTTATCGTGTGTGTTCAATAGATATAATTCAATGTTCGTCGTGGCATATAGCCAGGAAAGTAGTTGTTTTCTATTGAATCAACTGAGAAAGAGTAAATATTCTCATCACATAGAGAATGCGAATTCTCAATGTATTGCTTTATATAAATATATATCCATTTTTGTATGTTCATAATTTATCTGAGAATATTCCTTTTCTTTTTTCGTTTCCTTTGGACATATGGAATAATATGGATAAGAACTTTTTCAACTATTTCAATCGCTCATACTTTCAGGGTAGTTATTTCCAAGAGCTGCGTTAGTAGACAAAATCTTGTGTGTATTTCGAGCACAAAGTGTTATTGCCGCTCTCCAAAGATTACCGCGCTCCGCTCCGCATCGCGCGGTAACTTTCTTTGTCGAGCGGCAATCTATCACTTTGCGCTCTAAATACACAAATAGCTATTCTGGATACTGTTCCGTAAGAATAAACGAGTTAGTTGGGCAAGAACACAAGTAGGTACCTCTAGTAAGCTCTTGAATAAAATTTACCTGCAAATATTTCTTGCTGCTTGGAGAACATTGTGTGGTACTCATTTTTTCATTTACCAGATCATTCAACTCTGTCGTAAGATTCTCAATTTTCGTTTTATAGTCATTTTGCAACTGAAAATAGAAGATACAAATATCGAACAATACGCAGACAACAACGTCGATGCCTCTCAAAAGTGGCAGAACATAATGGACTTATTGGACTTGTAGGAATTTTGAAGAATTCTGATGAATTCTGAAGGAACTGATGATGATAATTTTCATTTGGGAGTTCACCAATGCCATACCTTCTCATGTTCCAGCTTTGTAGTTTGCAACTCTGTTTTTAGACAAGTTTTCGTATTCTTCATGCGTAGAAATTTTATACTCAAATTGTAATTTGCTTCCAAAGTTTCATTTAAAGTTTGTTTCAACTTTGAAATTTCGTTTCTGTACCACTCGACGCTCCTTTCTTCACAACTCGTAACAGAATTACTCAGAATTTTTTTGAGCTTCTTGCATTCATTCATTTCTTTACAGTATATCTCTTTTTCTTTGAAATAGTATTTTCGCTCTTCTTCCAGTTGTTGCGTCAAGCTAACATTTGATCTTCTTGTTTTCAAAAGGTCTAGGCCTAAAGTTTCTTTCTCTCTTGCCAAATTTGCGATGTAGACTTCTTTTTGCTCTGTTTCGTTTTGCAATGTTTGAATAGCTGCTTTCAGGTTCATAATCTGATCTTTCAGGGCCTCTAGTTCATTTTTTAATAAATCCGTTTCTTCCGCCATGTCTCCTTCTATATTATGCGAAATAGAATCATGAGATGGTGATGGAGCTGATGGTTTTGACAACACACTTCTGAAATACTATAAATAATTTTCCATGTTACTTTACTTGGTATATGTTACCTCACTAGTTTCTTTGTACCGGATAACTTATTTTTCAAAGCTTTTTTCATTAATAGCAAATATCGTCAATATTCAATACTCTTTCAACAATCTTTAGTTTTATGTCATTGCAGTGACACTCATTAAAATTTAGACATTTTCCAAGTCGATTGTTTTGAAAGGAAAATATGGGAGATACAGGAATGAAATTTTTATATATTATTTATAATACAAGAAAAACAAGTTGTAGATTCTAGCTCGATCTTGTCTCCTGACGCGAGCGTTGCATGAATCTTTATCATTCTTTTGAAGTATAATCAAATATGTATATGTCGGTGTAATTCTGTTATTTGATTTGAAACAGTTGCGGACTTTGTGGTTGTTTAGTAATTTAAGTAAGCGTGAAGTGGAGTGGAAGATAAAACGACTTGCAGTTTCTTCCTCGGAGACGATGTTATTGGCTTATTTTTCGGAATTATAGCACAATAAAAGCCATCAACAATGTATACAGTCTGTCCAAGATATAAGGTTGCACAGCATGGGAATCTCGGAAACGGTAGGAGATACGAAGTCGGTTAAATGGGGAAAAAGTTGCGCATTCGGAAGCTCATACCAACAGCCTTCGAAAATTTTCAAAATTGTTTCAAGTTTTCCAGTTATATCGAAAAAAGTGAAATTTTGGAATATCTATTTTTTTTTCTCCGTTATAATTAGAGATACAGAAGAACTAAAATACTTTTTTTTAGCAACTTTTGATGACGTTTAACGTGGTGATACCGATTTTTTTATGCGACGTTTTGTATTCGTAGAACCATCATCAACTTTTGTTTTTTAAATACGGCCCTGATAATTCTTTCACAGATTCTGAAAGCTTTTTTATTCTGAATTCAACCATGTATTATACAAGGTGGTTTGAATGTGTTCCGACCTATTTTTAGCCATCATCAATGTTTTTTTCGAAATTCCAAAGGAAAAATGCCATCAGTTTCACTTATTTCTGATTATTCAGTGTCAAACATTGATGGACTAGTTATTCAATACTGAAAAGTGAAAAAAAATCCACTAAATTATTCAATGCAGCGCTTCGAATTGTTTATGAATTGTATTCATATTTTAATCCGAAGGAGCTTGTCATAATTAAAGTTTTCGAACTAATTATTCCTATAAGTCTATCAATCGGAACTAGTTGATGAGATATTAGTTTGTTGGCTAATTTTCCTTCAAAATAAGTGGAACTGATGGCATTTTTCCTTTGGAATTTCGAAAAAAACATTGATGATGGCTAAAAATAGTTCGAAACACATTCAAACCACCTTGTATAATACATAATTGAATTAAGAATAAAAAAAGCTTTCAGAATCTGTGAAAGAATTATCAGGGCCGTATTTAAAAAACAAAAGTTGATGATGGTTCTACGGATACGAAACGTCGCATAGAAAAATCGGTATCACCACGTTAAACGTCATCAAAAGTTGCTATTAAAAAGTGTTTTCAGTTTTCCTGTATCTCTAATAATAACGGAGAAAAAAAATAAAATAGAGATTTCAAAAATTCACTTTTTTCGATATAACTGAAAAACAAAAAAAAAATTTGGAAAATTTTCGAAGGCTGTTGGTATGAGCCTCCGAATGCGCAACTTTTTCCCCATTTAACCGACTTCGTATCTCCTACCGTTTCCGAGATCCCCATGCTGTGCAACCTTATCTTGGACAGACTGTATATACAGGGTGTTCCTTAAAGACATGTTAATATTTCAGGGCGTGATTCTAAGACTCATTTTTGGAAGAAAACTCCATATGAACGTATGTCCAAAGAGTCTCAACTTTTGAGATACAGGGTGATGAAGTATTGAAAAATATTCAGTTTTTTGATAATAACTGAGACAATATTGTATTCATCTTCATGAAGCTCGGTACACCTCTTTTATATTTTTATTACGTACCTAACTGATGGTGTTGAAATGAACATTTCATCACAGTTATGTGATATTTCAAGTAATACAACTGGTTACGTAAGGTGAGACGTTTTGAAACTTCCGTCAGTTTTTAAAAGTGTCAAATTTACATGTCAAAATATGCACTATTTTAAGACTCACCTCCTTCATACCTAATACGATATAAAGGTAACGATAATAACCCACTAAACATGAAAACATAACTTAAACATAAATGTTATATTACATTGTTACTTTGTGATGTTATTCAGAGAGATGCATAATGTCACAGATACGTTGCGGTAATAGGCTTATGTGCCTCTTTTAAATATTACAATGTAATGTTGATAGTAAATATTGTATAAATATATCAGGAATCACATAAAATCGATGTTACTTTATAATGTATATTCAATGTTACTGGATACATCTAAACAATATTGTATTTCAACATTCTAATTATTTTCTAGGAGTTTTTAGGTTATGTCTATTTTGTCTGGAATCATCAAGACAATCATCTAAGTGATCTTCACAAAAGACAGAGAAGATGATCTATAAATATCCCTGAATAAGAATTGATCTTACCGTACTCCTGAAAGACTATAAGTATGATCCAGTTACATAGTGATAATTTGAGACAGATTAACTACTATCTATCTATGTATCATTTTAGTTATTATGCTTCATGAATCCAGTCATACCAAGCTTAGCTTTATGATTTCTGCATAGTCCAGTGAACTCTTACTGACTTTCTGAAAAGTAATAGGTAAATATATATCCGAGTTTCTGGAAGTTTTCTGACTTATTTTGAAATTCTTTTCTATGTTCTTCTAGCTATGACATATAACTCACCCATTATTTTTGTAATTCGTGGAATATGAACACAATGCGTATTCACGAATCCCTCCTACTTTTCCACATATTATGGAATGCAGATACAGATTGGTTGCATTTCTATATTCCAGCAGAACAAACCTGGAATCTAAATAGGTATCATGAGCAGTTCATATTTTCATTCGAGTCTATTTAAGTCCTAGACTTCTTTAGTTCTTGACTTACTTTAACAACTACGAATAATATCTGAAAATCAATATTATCACTGATCACACTGTTCGACCTGTTCACCATAATAGACAACAAACAAAATGGCTGGAATGGAATTGAATTGACTTTTGACAATTGACAAGGTTACTTTGCCGTAGAAGGAAAAATATTATCCCCTTATATCCCCTATACATGTTAGCTACGTTATAAGGTGGTGAAACGAAAACGTTGCACAAATAACATAACAACTCTGTCTGAGATATATCTGATGAACCTAAAATCAACATATCACAATATTATCTAATGGTATTGATATCAATATTGTTGCAACGTCTCATAAACATTTTACTTCATAATATTATGTTGGATACTCCAGAAGGACATTATGGCAATGTTATTTCAACAATATATCACAAAACTTATATCTGAAAAATATTTTTGTTATGTATCATGTTTAGAAGATATACAGGGTGTCCGTTTTTCGAGCTCCACCATGGGGATCTCAGTTAATATAAGAGATACGAGGTCGGCTAAAGCTATTTTGTTTCAAATCTTCGACACCCTGTATCTTGAAAACGATGAATTTCCGTACCCATGTTTATCTGAACTTTTCGGCTTGGAATCACTCGAAGAATCAAGTCTTGAAGTTGGGCCACATATACTTAAATAACACTCGCTCGCATATCAGGCTTTTTTTTTAAACAAAATACTATATATATACTTCTATCGAATCAGTCAAATCCGAAAACTGACAATAAACAAAAGATCCAGTACTCTAACATATACATATGAACAGGGTCTTCACGTATATTTTGAACCTCCACTTAACTTCTCTATATGTATTGTTTAATTTTTTTTAGATACGTTTTCTTATAGTTTTTCCTGTAGATTTCATATACGCCAACAGAAAAACAGTTGATTATCTCAATAAATACTTATGGGCAACATTTATAATTTGTTCAATAGGACACCCTGTATTTTATTGCATTTTTAGATTCCCCCTGGAGAGCTGATTTCATCGATCTATCACAGTTGGGGTCTATAGCTGAAATGATTACAGAGATATAGGGTGTAAAAAATTGAGATTTTTTCATCTTTAGGAATTTTTTGTTTCGAAACTATTCATTATTGGTCAAAACGGTTTCCATGTCCCTATATATTAACTTTTGATGTATTATCTACTGACATTTAATTGAAACGAATACAGGGTGGTGAAAAATCTAGAATTCTGATGACCCTGTATTTGTTTCAATTAAATGTCAGTAGATAGTGGATCAAAAGTTAAGATAGGGACTTGAAAACAGTTTTGGCCAATAATGAATAGTTTCGACACAAAAAATTCCTAAAGTTGAAAAAATCTCAATTTTTCACACCTTATCTCTGTAATCATTTCATCTAGTCCCCAACTGTAAATCGATGAAATAAGCTCTCCAGGAAGAATCTAAAAATGTAATAAAATACAGGGTGTCCTATTGAAAAAATTATAAATGTTGCCCATAAGTATTTTTTGAGATGTTCAACTTGAAAAAAAATACTGTCTGTAGGTTAATCGAGGAGGTGTGGTACATTCATTATTCCAAATTTTTTGGGATTTTCTCTCCTCGTTTCTATAAAATAAAAATATTAATATTATTTCAATATACGTGTAGTAAGGACAAATCAGGCTCTCTGATAGGAAAATTCTATAAACGCAGTGACATTTTGGGGCAAATCATCTGATTTGTCCTTACTACACGTATATTGAAATAATATTCATATTTTTATTTTATAGAAACGAGGAGAGAAAAACACAAAAAATTTGGAATAATGATTGAAAAAAAAATTTAACTATACATAAAAAAATTAGTGGGGGTTCAAAATATACGTGAAGACCCTGTAAATATCTATATGTACTAAAATCGTTTGTGGAGGTAGGTATTTTTATATGTAACTTTTTTTATGAATTTACTGACCGATTTTCATTTCTTATCTCCGTAGAATATTTTAACGTGGCTACTTATTGTTAAGTTTAATTTAATTTTTTTATTTCCTTTGAAGTTTCATTTTAGGGCTCTATAATACATCATTCAGCAGGTTATTATAGATGATGATTCATTAAGAATGGGAAATCTCTGAACTACAACAGATGGTGAACACAAAAATAATGAGATTTAGGATTTAGCCCCTATATGCCTGATGAGAATGTTGCTGGTTTAGGAGATACAGGGTGTTCTAGGGGGAGATTTAATTTCACAATAACTATTTTAGTTTCAACAACATGAACATGAAATCTTGTATTTCTAGGTTTTCTGACATGAGGAATATGAATTTGCAACTTATTTTGTGATTGCTCATAGAGGGCGCTAGTGGCACTCTGTTACTTCGATAATTTATTACATCATGTCAATTCATGCATTGATGATCAAAATAAGTGGAAATCTGAAAGCTCGTTCAATTTCACATGAAAAATGTACTCTTCATCGAACTGTCTAGTATCAACGGTTTTTGTGTTATTCGCTCTTAAAGAGATTCATTTTCCACTTTTGACATTTTAATAATTTGATTTATTAGATTATAAGAATGGGAAATCTCTGAACTACAGATAGTAAACACCATACACCCAAATATGAAGATTTAGCTAAACATGCCTCATAAAAATATTGCTGGTTTAAGAGATACAGGGTGGTTAAGGAGAAGATTTCATTTCAAAATATCTTCACAAAATAAGTAGCAAATTCATATTCCTCATGTCAGAAAACCAAGAAATACAAGATTTCATGTTCATGCTGTTAAAATCCACAAAGTTATTGTGAAATTTTGATATAAAATCTCCCCCTAGAACACCCTGTATCTCCTAAACCAGCAACATTCTCATCAGGTATATTGGGCTGAATCTCATTATTTCTTTGTTTACCATCTGTAGTTCAGAGGTTTCTCCATTCTTATGGCTACTTATCGATTTTTCATTGACTTCGTTGACGCAAGTAGAACAATAACACCCTGTGTCTGAAAAAGTAGAGTAGGAAATAAACTCAAATCAGGAGCGGACTGGCCCATTGAGCAGCAGCGCCCTTAGCATACCAAAAGAAACGAACATCAGCGACAAAAGAATAAATTGAATGATTGTTTTTGTTTATTGAAGAAAAGCATCGTTTTAGATTGAATTTTATCAATTTTATATTGGTATAACTATGTTATATGGATCTTACCTCTAATCTGAATCTGTGATACTTATCTGATGCTATTGTTTGAAAAATGTTCGAAGAAGTGAAAATATCAGTTCATTGTAAAATATCAGATTTTTACTTATCTTTTGCTTCGATGAAGGTTTAGGAAACGAAACTGCTCTCGTTTTCAAGACAAAAACAGAAAAATCGACTTCGATAATAATTGTTTCTCTGTTGGATATTTCCTGTAGTTAACAGACAAGAAAAATATGATTTTCAAAAATTCACTTAGAAAAAAAATGAGACTATTCTTCTGAACACCCTAACATATCACTCGATCTTTTCTTTTTTCAGGAAATATAAAAGTATAGATTATTTTTCTAATCAACCATATCACGTGATTTATATAAACGCATACACATTCGATCAAAGAAAACCTCATTGATGAATTAATTTTTTTCGAATCCGTTTTCGTATAGTCATTCCAAAGTCAATAAGAGCACCTACAGCAAGAAACGCGCGATGCCGTTTTGTTTAAAGTTCAAAACTAACTTTGGAAAGACAGGAATACCAGCACCTTATTCAAATTGGGTGTTGTTTTGGATTACTGAATACAAGGAATGCATCGAAACTGGTTCATCGTTTTAGGTTCCGAAACCTTATTGTAGTACAGCACAACCTGGAGCTAAAATCTACTATTATTTCCCTTGTATAATGAATAACCATTCTTTTCATCGGTGAGTTTGTGGTTAATGAATGATTTATCAATTTATTAATTTGCTTTCATCAGTTGAGCAAGTCTACAGATCGAATGGAATCATGCATATTTTGTATAATCATTCAGCTGCTCATCTATTTTGGATTAAAAGTTTTCTCATTCAATAATGACTCTATATAGTATTCCTAATGTTCAGACCATCTCATACTAAACAGCTTCCTGATGCAAGTCCAAGACATTGAAACCACAATTATGCAAATTCACCGTTTTTGAAATAGAGTTCTCAAATCTGAGTATTGGAATCAGCTATGAGAACTTAATATACTGCATATTTCATTCATTTCTCACAACTTTATGTATGGTTTAACAAACTTTTGTGGTAGGCGCCTCCCAACCTTCTTCTTTTGATACGCTTATGTTCCTCGAGCTCATCAGTGCAACATGACAGATCCTAAATGCACATCAATCAATTTCACCAGTTCGATCTCCTGAGTGCCTCACATTTTTCCTTATAGAATTCACGGATTATATCAACAAATCAATTAGTAATTCTAGATTTCTGCACAAGAGAATTTCATAAAATGATGATAATCACTTATTGAACAATTTAATTATGTGGATTCCTCACTTGTGGGCCAGTGCCATAGAGCCAGTGCTACTCTGTATTCTACACAGCTGGTTTTGACAGAACAACTGAATTGTTTTGTTATGGTTTTCGACAGTGATTGACGTTTCTTTCGAATTGTTTGAGCATGAAAATTTCGGTTTTGCTTTGATTTTGATAATAATATATTGATGTAGATGATATTAAAACATTGAGGCTGAGAAATGGAAGTGTGACCTAAACCAAATGAGTGAGTTCAATATCAGTCAAATCGATCGAAACTGAAATCTCTGGTTAGGGATTCCTTCATATTTTAATTTTCATATATTTTTTTGGGGAATAGTGAGGCATACCACGGAAAAACTATAATATTACAGGATAAGACGAGGAAATGGTAATACCATAATGCTAGGAATGACAATGGAAGACATAACCAAAACATTAAGAGAAGCACAAAACGGCAACAAAATCTTTCTAGAAACTGTCTTCCAAAAATACCCTGATTATCACTGGAGTCAAATATATTACAAAGCTACAGGTGATACTCTCCTTCACTGTGCTGCTAGATTGGGGCACATTAATATCATAAAATATCTTCTTTCAAACTTTGTCCCTATCTCTGTTGACTGTAAAAATAAAGATGATAAAACTGCTCTACATGAAGCCAGTCAATTTTTGCAGTTTGAATCATGTGAGGTACTTTTGAGGTATGGTGCAGAGGTAAATGCCCTCAAGAGGGCTGACTGGACTCCATTAATGCTAGCTTGTACAAAAACTGAGGGTGAAAATAGTTGGAAAACAATTAAGTTATTGTTAGAACATGGTGCTTTGGTCAACTATAAAAATAAAGATGGTTGGACATGTGTTCATCTAGTTGCACGGCAAGGTAATGTATCTGTTATGAAACTGCTGCTCCAATATGGTTTGGATGCAAAAATAAAGACTAAAAATGGCAGATCAGCACTCCACATAGCTGCTTTACATGGCAAACTGGAAATTGTTGAATTGTTACTGGGAGCTGGACTGGATATTGATGAAAGAGATAATTGTGGCAATACTCCACTGCATGAGGCTGCCTTGGGCCATATTAATATTTGTGAGTTGTTGATCAACCATGGGGCCAACATTAATTTGAAGAATAATTGTGGCTTAAATGTGGTGCATTTAACTGCTGCAACAGGGAATATAGAAATCTTGAGGTTATTTTTGAGTGAGCATAAACTTGATATAAATGATCATGACAATAGTGGTTTCACCAGTCTACATTATGCTAGTAGAGCAGGAAAACGAGCAGCCTATGATTTTTTAGTTTCTTGTGGGGCCTGTGAGGAAATTAAAGATAATTTTGGAAGAACTCCACAAGAGGTGTTCACACATATACCTTAATATTTTTCATGTGATTGGATGTCAAAAGAGTTTGACATACCTACTGAGTTTCAAGTCTAATTTAAGTTGAGATGCATTATTGTAAGGAGATTATATTTTCCAAAGAGGGGCAAATATTGGTGTAGATTTCTGTTCCTAAGACTTGGATTCTATTTTATAAAAAACCAAAAAGGTTCTGATGTTCTTCAATGTGGTGCTTAAATGTTATACCTGTCTGATCAATATTTATTTCAGGACAAAATCTACACTTCAGTTTGTATGCTCTTGATTTTTATATTTCAGAAGATTGAAATTCTATATATATTGTTGATGGTACTTAAAAATAATGTTGTCTATCAGATCCAAGTTCTAACCATTGTTGATTGCTTTCTGTTTTATGATATTGAGAGGTTTATTGAAATTTCTTCTTTCATCATTATATGAATAGTGATATCAGTATAAAAAAATTTGCATATTTTACTTACTGAATGAATTTTCCAAGTGAAGTGTCTGAATGTGTAATGAAAAAGTAATGACAAGATCTGCCCATTTCACTGATTTTTACCTATTTTACCCTATCCTCCCTATAGGTGGAAAGAATGCAAAAGTGTTTGGAGTTGGTCACCAACATCGGAAGTAGTTATGTATTCTCAAGAACTTGTTTATTATCTCCAAAAGAAAAAAAAAAGGTTGTTCTGAAGAGAGCCTCAGATTCTCATTTTTACTCATAACATTTTAGCCCTTTTGGGCTACTTTTTCCTTGATGTGGTTGTGGAATTGGATTGCTTTTTTGTAATTTTTTTCTTTGATAATCATGGCATTGTTACCATGCATCATTTTGAGAGGCTCTGTATATCAACATATACACCAGTTCTGGAATTTGTTATTTTCATAATTTATTTAGGCGGCTGCTTTACTAAAATCACTTGTGTGCTCTGGCTGTGGTTTTAAGGTGATTTCTCCTTGAAGTCTTGTTTGCATATTCTGTATAATTATTTATTTTCTTCTTGAACCAGAGTTGACATAATTCATTGATTTATTGATTATTTTCGCTTCAATAGCCAGCAATGTGAATTTTTCTTCAAATTCCTACCATATCTGCATGGAAAATGCATGGAAAATCCAACTTTCCAACAGTTCAGTATAGACTAACCTATATTCTTTGATATAACCGACTGGGTGGAAAGCTCATGAGTTGAACTATTTTGGAACTTCTAAAACTCGTTTATACCTGGAAAGCTATACTTGATGTAGACTACAATGTCGTTTTTTTTATGTTCTGGTTGCCACTTGAAGGGATATCCTGTAATGTTCAGAGAACATCGTGAGAACCAAGGAAAATAAGGTAGGAATTGGTGTTGAATGGAAAACCCCGTATTCAATTCTATAGCTAGGATTAATGGTCCATTTCAAGTCCATTCCACATCATCTCACAATTCACTGTACCGGGTGGCCAACTAAGAATGGACGCCGGCTGTATCTCAGAAACTACACGTCGTATAACTCTGAAAAAAAAAATTACCGAGTAAATCGGCCAAGAGAAATTGCTGGAAATTAATTCCAAGTTCGAAAAATGGCCGCTAGAGGGCGCATTTGCTATGGCCAATCAGAAAACTGGATTTTTCTCAAAAATATGCGCACGTGAACAGGTATTTGAAATATTACTATTGAAGTCACTGAAGAATTTGTGATTTTTTTTTCAAATATCATTCTTCTCTATCTCATGAAATAAAGTGGTGGGGGAAGGTTGAACTCGAATTTCTTAAAACAAAGATAACTCCGGTTTGGGTTAACGGAATTCAACAAACTAGGGCTTGTTCGAAAGATCTTTTCTTCCTAAATAATCTACAACATGGACTTTGTCTCAATGAATTTTGCCGTGGTAGCTAGAGGGCGCTGTTTGACATCGTGACAGTTATTGCGAGTTTTCATGAAAATTTCAAATGAAAACCTAGGTATTTTTTTACATAGTTAAAAAGAGAACAACATTTCCAAAAAGTCAGTGCAAACCGCTACTTTCTATCTTACTTCTAACGGGAGATAATTAGGCAACAAATAAAATTGCTATTATATGCTATTATATCCGGAACCTTGGAAAAAAATATTTATTGAATTGAATTTATCGAATTACTCCAATTTAATCAATGGCGTCCTAGATGTTCAAACTGTTGTCCATCATTTTCTATGCACTTCAGCATTCTTTCCTGTGTGGAACCAACTGCACTCTCTACTTCTGCTACTGGAATATTATGTAGACAGTCCCTTATTCGTGCAATCATATCATCTCTTGTAGTAGGTCTGTTAGCAAAAACTATATCTTTTACTCGACCCCATAAATAAAAATCGAGGCATGTTAAATCCGGTGACCTAGCTGGCCATGGAAATATGCTGCCTCGTCCTATCCATCTACCAGGGTATGTGGTATCCAAGAAGTCCCGCACATTCAAAGCAAAATGAGCTGGACAACCATCTTGCTGAAATAGCATTTGTTGTCGAATTCCAAGGGGCACATCCTCTAACAAAATCGGCAATTCCACTCTTAGAAATTGTAGATAGCTCACTCCATTGAGGTTATCAAAAAAGAAAGGTCCGATAATTCGCCCTCCTAGAATTCCTGCCCAAACATTGACCGACCAACGACCTTGGTGCTGGACTTCTTGCATCCAGTGTGGATTTGTTCTGGACCAGTAGTGCATATTGTGTTGATTCACACCTCCGTTACTATGAAAAGTGGCTTCATCTGTCCACAATATGCGGGAAAGAATATGCTGATCTTCTGCCATCATACCCAGAAGCCAGTGACAATGATCCAGTCGTCGGTCAAAGTCTTCAGCACTCAATGCCTGATGCAGGACTAAGTGATATGGGTGTAACCTAAAACAAGACAAAGGCAACTAATTCAATACGGCAATAATGGTTTTCATGAAAGAAAAAACATTAATAATGTTTTATATTATAATTCAAATCTCGTGATTCGATATTGGTTTTAAAGGAATGACATTCCAATAGCCTTCGATTCATGAAATCACTCTTCATTGAATTCTTGAGAGATAGAGGTGAAGTTGAAATCTAGTTGAGTATAAAATAAAATTTTTATTGGAATTCCAAAATCGAACGTATTTCGAATTTTATGATTGAAATTCTATTTATATAACTTGAATAGAATAGCAATTTTAATCAATAAATTGCTTACCTTTGTTCCTTAAGTATATTTTGAACCGTAGTTCGAGTTATTCCAAGGTCTTTCGCAATAGTTCTGGTACTGAGTTGAGGATTAAACTCTATATAAGCTAACACATTAATAATGTTCTCTTCGGTTCGACATCTGCGTTGTCTACGGCATACAGGTAAATGAACATTTCCAGTTGTTCGAAGACGGTGGATTACTCTTAGAAAAACTTTTTTACTGGGGTGCCGTCTATCAGGATACCGCTGCGCAGATACTCTCGCAGCAACTGTAGCATTTCTCATTGTTTCAAAATAAACTCCTACCATGTCAAATAACTCTTCGTTTGAATAAATCATTTTTTAAGAAGAAAATAACAGTAAACAACAGTTCAGAATAATAAAAGAAAACAACATGAACAGCAACACGAAAAACCCGAACGATATAAACTTAATAGAAACAACAAGACGCAACAAGAAAACACAAACTATATGGAAAACACGAACAACACAAAAAATACCTATAATATATGGAAAATCAAGGACGAACTAGGATAAATTGCATCTAAATGACATTAATATAAAACCAAGATGTTTCAATATTTTGACGTTGCTATTTACTAGTTTTTGTTTCATAGCCTACTAGAATAATTTTTGACTATTTTAGGCCTAGGCGATAGCAGTATTCTATTTGCCTCATTATCTCCCGTTAGAAGTTAGATAGAAAGTAGCGGTTTACGCTGACTTTTTGGAAATTTTGTTCTCTTGTTAACTATGTGAAAGAATACCTAGGTTGCCATTTGAAAATTTCATGAAAACTAGCTATAACTGTTACGATGTCAAACAGCGCCCTCTAGCTACCACGGCAAAATTCATTGAGACAAAGTCCATGTTGTAGATTATTTAGGAAGAAAAGATCTTTCGAACAAGCCCTAGTTTGTTGAATTCCGTTAACCCAAACCGGAGTTATCTTTGTTTTAAGAAATTCGAGTTCAACCTTCCCCCACCACTTTATTTCATGAGATAGAGAAGAATGATATTTGAAAAAAAAAATCACAAATTCTTCAGTGACTTCAATAGTAATATTTAAAATACCTGTTCACGTGCATATTTTTGAGAAAAATCCAGTTTTCTGATTGGCCATAGCAAATGCGCCCTCTAGCGGCCATTTTTCGAACTTGGAATTAATTTCCAGCAATTTCTCTTGGCCGATTTACTCGGTAATTTTTTTTTTCAGAGTTATACGACGTGTAGTTTCTGAGATACAGCCGGCGTCCATTCTTAGTTGGCCACCCGGTACACATTTCAAATAACATTAAAGTGTCAACACCCGAATTGTGATGAATCATATCCATATGAATTACAACACAATGCACACTAGCATAGCATAGCATTGATTAGTACAAAATTATCCCACACATCATACTACTAGGGATCACATATTCATTCCGATTTTTTAAAGCATATGTTGAAATATTATTTTCAATGGAACACCTAGTATTGTATTGCGAAATTGAAATGCATAAATTATAGGGTGTTTTTTTTTATCTTTTCCACATCTCACACATGACATGATTTGAACTTGAATTCTGCCTTTTGATAGGTTCATAGCATATAGTTTCTCTGTATGTATGTACTCACATGCTCACTGATACCTGTCAATACAATCCAATATTTTTATTATTATTATCAATCGAATTGGGAGAACCTAATTGAGTTGATATGTTTAATTGAAACACCATAATTATTATTATCATCATTGGAAAATGTAATAGGTACACCTACCTTAAATTATTCAAGTAACAATGTTCAAGAAATAATACTATATCTTTTTCTTCTTCTTTGTTTTCCCTGCCAAAGGCGCTGGCATCTTGAACACAGTACTGAAAATAAAAAGTTTCTTCATAATATTGATTATTTTCAGATATTGGTAAAATTACAGGGTGATTCACCATAAATGTCCCCCCCTCTAGCTCAGTTATTTTTGTACAGATTTCAAAATTTGAAATATCATCTCAAATGATTTTCGATAAAGTTTTTTTCCGCTACATCAAAAAATACAGGGTGCTCGGAACAAATGATCTACAGGGTACTATTTGATTTTTTTTTTCAATGGAACACCCTATTTTTCATTGTATTTTTAGATTCTCGATGAAGAGCTGATTTGATCAATGTATCACACTTGGGGTCTAGCGAGAATGATTACAGAGATATAGGGTGTTCAAAATCGAGAATTTTCAACTTTAGAATTTTTTGTGACGAAACGGTCAAAACGGCTTCCATGTCCGTATCTTAACTTTTGATTTACTATCTACTGACATTTAATGATTGGAACAGATACAGGGTGATCAGAATTCTGAATCTTGAACCAAGTTGAAAAAGTAATGATACTCACTGACATGTTGTGCATATTGGACTGAATTTGCAGAAGACTGAAAAAGTAAATTCACAATAGTTAAAGTTTATAATTTATCAAAAATACTCACTTGAAAGACAAACGGAACATACATATCCGATGTCAATAAGTTCCCTGTGACAAAAACAGGCTGCCCGATAATCCACTTTGACGGGAGGTGGCAAAACCAGTTTTTCCCTTATAGGAGGTTCCGGCAAAAATACCCACTAAAAAAGTAAAATTACATGGAATTGACTATATTTTCAAGGGTTAGACAGTTCGTATTGTGAGGCTGGCTACAATGGTGTCAAATGTTAAATGTGAATGAAATCGGCGCCATTGTCAAAATTATTGTATTTCTATCAGATCAAAAACTGTTGAATTGTTAATTATCAAAAAAGAGCAAAAACAACTTCTTGGAACCGTCGTTTTTAAAACTTATTATAATTGAAAATGCATTCGACAAATGACACTCAATTTGACAGTAGTTGCTTCAACAAATAGCACAAAATGTCTGACCCTTTCCAAGTGAAATATAGTCAATTGACTAGTCTCATATAAAAGTGCGTATACTGTAGGTATGAGAATCGGTCGTTATCTATTTTTTAAATATCGAAAATTCAAGATGGCGGATCCAATATGGCGGACGAGTTTTGTAATCCGATTATATTCAAAATTGGTATGTGAGGATTTTTGGGGTCGGGGATTATCATTAATTCGTCAAAATCAATAAATTCTAAATGGCGGATTCAATATGGCGGACGAGTTTTTAGATTATGGCCCGATTCGATTCAGAATTGGTATCTGGGGGTTTTTGAGGTCGAAGATTATGATTTATTCGTCAAAATTTGGGAATTCAAGTTGGCGGACGAGTTTTTCAATTGAAATTGTTCTAAAATTGTTCTATCCGTCATGCGGTTGCCCCCTTACGAGCAACCCTCAGAAGTCTTCGAGAGTCTTGTGCGAGCAAGGAATGGCGGGGGCCTTACTTTTAACGTGTGATCCCAAACACTTTCTTGGGCCATCAGAAAAATTTCTGCAGTCGATGGGAATCGAACCCACGACCGGCAAGCGAATGCGGATTAGAATATAGACACTCTGTCCGCATGGCTACCTGGCCCGATTCTATTCAAAACTGGTATCTGGGGGTTTTCGGGGTCAGAGATTATAATTATTTCGTCAAAATATACGGTATTCCAGAGAAGTGAGTGAGTTTGTGAGCGAGGCGAATCCAACAGTTTCAGGGTATGTTTGGGTGCTGTACTCCAAATATCGGAACAGTTCGAATCTGTGCCTTATAGACCAAGCATCGAAATTGATGTCTTCAAAGGTATGGTTACTCCTGACAAGTAATGTTGGGCACAGTGAGATCGGCTTTTCTAGAGAAAAGGCATGCTTGTGTTTTGTTTGCATTGAAATCTACCAAGTTATTGGATCCGCCATTCGAGAATTGTTACCAAGTCCATATTTATGTTGTCAACATTTCTCCCTCGTTCGTTTCTGATTCGGATTCCTCTTAATGTGATAAATATTTAGAATATTATGTTTCCCCAATAGAAAATTGCGATGATATTGACACACAAGAGCCGTTTTACTCGCCTCGGAACAGATCATCGAAAATAAACACCATAAGAAGTCACTTACTAGTAAATATTGTAGCAATCCTTGCAGTTGAGGAACCTTCAGATATAAGCCATTGGTGATGTCACAACCCTGCTGTAACAAACTTAGATGTTGATCCAGTGCACAGACATCTATTACAACATTCTGCTTCTGAGCCGTAAAAAATACATTCATGTAATTCATGTACTGAGATGCAGAACATCCACTGCCTGTTACAACCAAGATACGAGAGTTGAGCTACAAAACAAATGAAAATTCAACATCTCTTACTTCTCATGGGTGTGTTTATTCAATCTCAGCGGAAGAAAACTGGAAAGTTGCTTTTCTGGAATGCCTTTTCTATAAGAATGCGGCAATTTTTTTCAGTTAATGAGAAATGGGAAGTTATAGGATATAAAACTAATTTCTCAGAAACATCAAAAACTTTCAATTTTCCTAGAGTCCTAGGTCCTGTGATTTTTATTTACTTTTTTGAAAGGGCATCCTTTTGGCAATTCGAGGAATTTTTCAAGTACAGTCCTAATTTCTTCTTTTATTTGAAGCATATTATATTCAATACAATAAAATCAGAGAATATACACCCAAGAGCTAAAATACCATATTTTAAAATCCCGCTTTTCTGACGACACCCTTAAATATCAGTTATTAATGATGTGATTTTCTTCAAATTTTAATGGTGATTGTGTTAGAAAAATACCTTACAATCACCATCACAATTTCGAGAAGATAGTATCATGATTGACTGAGATTTTAGGGCATAGTCATGAAAAGCAGGAGTTTGAATTTTTCTTGAGGTTTTGAAAATATGAATTGGGGTGTTTTTGGGGATGCTGATTCTGAATCTGATAAACAAAGTAACCTCTATTTAAAATAAGCCCTTATATCCTTTTCCCGAATGAAGGCCTTTTTTGTATCCCTAAATGAAACTACAGTACACTGTTTTACCACTAACCAAACCGATTTTTAATACGCCTCCATATGTGTTTCCCTAACCATGTTAACATCTTCAGGAGATTGAAACTAAATATTCTTTATTGTAGTGTGCTACTAATATATGCTCAGTATATGTCCATAGTGTGAAAGACACTAACTGCCAAGTTAATGTTTGTCATGGTTGAGTTCATATGTTCACCTTGATCTTATATCACTAAACTATACAGTGGAATAGGTCCATTATCTTTATTCATGTACTCTTTTACTATTCTTAAATATCTCTAGGCTTTCATATGCATCTATATTCCTAACATTATCAACTTGCTCAACTAATTTGAGGTTGTTATTATGTGTGTTATGGTTGTGATTAAACATGTGTTTGGCTACACATGATTTATCTATCATACCATATTACAAATGTGCTAGGTGTTCTTTGAGCCTTGTTTTTATGGGTTGCCTGATTTGGCCTATGTATGTTTTATCACAATCATTACAATAAATTCTGTCAGGCATTTCTTAAACCTGGATGTTTTTTCATCTATTTTAGCTGTCCCATCATATTCCTACTTCATGAACATTATTAATGCCCACTCATTGATTATCCTTGTGATTACCTTAGCTCCTGGAGGCTTTATCCTATTGAGTCTAGCAATATAGCATAGAGCCATTGCTATAGCACCAGCTAAAAGAGATTCAGTTATAGCTGAAGATGTTTCAGAAGACAATATCTTTGCAAGATTTTGTTTTGTGGTTTTCTCCACATTAGTAAAAGCTTCATATTGACCATCAATTTGCCGCACATCTAAAGGTCTACCTGGTCCAGGAAATATGAACTGGCTGAAAGATTTTCAATAATAAATTATGATTCCAATAATATAATGATAAAATAACCTAGTTTTTGAATGGCAAGCCATAATCGCTAATTTGTTTTGTGCTTTCTGCATCAAGTGTGAATTCGCAAATGCTATGACAGAATCAACACAATGTGTTAAAATATGGGGATTGTCTCTCAACATTTTTTGGCCAGGATTGCTATCGAGTATAACAACCAATAAACTAGTTTCGTCCGTTGAAGTGATATCCGGTTGTGTTTCGCTTGGTAGTTCTATATTATTCATATTTTATTGTTTGTATTTTCAGCTTTCAATTTTTTCCCAACGGCAAGGAAGAGGACTACAACTACAAATCTAAAAAATAGTAAAATAACCAGCTGAAGAATCTAAATTTGCATTAGTAAAATAGTAATTGGTTATATGGATTCTTCTTCTTTTTTTAACATAATTATGAACTTGAAACTTGTTTCACTCTCCACTCTTGCCATTTGTTTCTTACATGACACGACACATTGGCAGTACTAGCACGTTGTGGTTGTGGCTGTGGCTCATACCCTCAGCTTTATTTGACATTGCCCTCATTTTCTGGAGAAACAAAATAGAAGATTAAGTTACAGTGACGTCCTGACTGACGTCAGTGAGTAACTGACAGCTGGTAAAATTAATGGAAAATTGGATTCTGCCATATTATCTGCCTCTGGAGTCTTGGAATATTTTAATTCGATCGACATTGTCGTATTTAAGATTTTTCTTTTCAATTTCACCTTTGGTTTCACTTGACTAGGTACTTTCCAGTAGTTTTATTGAAGCCGGTAAGTGATTACGCGTTTATCAAAGACAACATGCTAGACCAGGGTGTCAGTATAAACAGTTCACAAAAATAATTAAAGGGCATGTTTGATTCCTACATTTTATGGCAGATTTATGCAGCAATCAGGGCCGCCTCTAGCGGGTGTGCGAGGTGTGCACAGCACACCATCAGGTCAGAAAGGGGCGCCAAACTTGAGGGAAAACGATAGAAAAATTCCTACTTTCATATAACAACAAAATTTCCATAAATACAAACAATCCGCCGTAGAAAAAAAAAAACAAAACAATTCAGTTACGAACATGAAGATGAGACACCGGTTGATCCTGAAGAACAATTCGAAATCAACTTTAATTTGCAAGTAATAGATCAAACCATAACGTCCCTCGGAGAAAGATACGAAAATCTGAGACTACAAAATTATTTCAAAGAAAATATTACAACTAATGATCCTCACACTATATCTTCCCAAATAATTTAGTTTACTTGTTTCCAAATTTTTCACGGTAGCTTTGAGAATTTTGCTAACACTGCCAGAATCTGTTGCAACAGGAGACAGATCTTTTTCGAAATTGAAGATAATAAAAAAATATTTGAGGTCGACAATGTCCCAAGTAAAATTGTCTAGTTCAGCAATTACATCGATAGAATCAAACTTATTAGATACCTACTTTGAATATAAGCGATTTAATAGGGTATACGCATGTGAAAATTTTACACTGGAATATATTTTTGTTCCATTACTCATATGTATAGATGTCGAATTATACATCCGAAAAACATTATTAAGCACCGAATATTTAATAATTTCTGATTGAAAATCATAATATTTGCAACTTTCCGACCAACAGCCGAACTGCAGCGATGATTTCCGACTGGATGTGGCTGTTTTTATTTGTCATGTCAAACATTCATGTCCGAGAGATTGAAAATAATATAAGAAGAGGAAGTGAGGTTATGATTATCTGAGCTTGTAGTTTCTATAATTAATCTCAATTATATGATCCCAATATTCTGAATAATAATAACTGAATAATAAGCAAATATCTACAATAAGAATGATCAAACAGGAATTCTTTTTACATGTGTTTCAAATATATATTACCACCTATCAATTTATATTTCATATAGTTTTCCATATCTTCTTCAAGCTGAAAACGAAATCACATATTATATTATTCTCCTAATAACATGAGGAACATAATCATTGATATATAATGGGTTTCACTAGGACATACTTGAACGTATATTCACGTCGAAATGGTCTTCACATACAATCCTCTGGTTTTCTCGGATAAATCATTTCTATTTATGGCTTGCAACCATGATTTTATTCTCTCTTTATTTTAATCACTCGATCCCACTGGCAATGAAAGGAATATTTTTCCTGGTGATACTTTTGTTGATGAAAGGCATTGCGGCACTAAACAGTATTTGGTATAAACATTATCATTTTCCATTTTCAAATTTCAAATTTCTGGCGTTTAAAACTGTTTTCTTCTACCTCTTCTTCTTCTTCTTTTTTTTTCAATCTGAATCTTGTCATTCTGTCGCGCTAGTCTATGGCTGTGCGGCCTAATACTATGACGTCATAATATTAGTGATGGCCACTAACCCGTTTTCCTGTGACTTCATATTTAGCCTCATTCAGATGACATTTTTAAGAGTCACAAGCAAATTTGAGATTAATGAATGATATCCAATGTTATTATGAGGAAGAAGGAATATAATTTCGATGAAACAAAAAATCATGCGTATTCCTTATTGAAGATTTTGCTACTCAGAAAGCCCGTAAAGTGCCATTTTTGTGAATTGCAATACCTATTTCTCCTTGTGTGTTCATTTTATTACCTATAACTCACTCGAATACTCTCTGTTGATAAAATATGAATTTATTTCTAGAGTTCGTTCTCGGCTCTGGTTGTTTATTTCAGAATTCATTTTTATTTTTAGTTATGTTAATGATTTGTTAAATTGAATTTTCATTATACATATACGTATACTTTTTTGGAAACAAAACTGTTGAAAACATCAAAATCATCAAATAGTTTGATTTTATATTTTATTGCATCAGCTTACAGTTTGTTAATTCAATAAACTCCAATAGGGGCGCTATTCTGGGTTTTGCACACTAGCAGATAAATCTGTAGAGCCGGCCCTGGCAGCAATTTATAGTCTCAACTCTCTCAAGTGATCTTTTAATTAGGGATAAAAGTTTCTAGTGTAATTAAAGATGAGAGCTTCATTTTTACCTAGAGTTCTTGGAGATAGCAATACCTACTTAAAACATTCTCTTCGATTTGGCAAATATTATACACACATCTCTGACTTTCGTCTACATTTCCATTTCGCGATAAAATATAATACGTTGCCCTACCTGACACTCCTGACAGCAACAACTTGAACACTTCTGAGCGGTATGTTTTGATCATGATGATGAAGTGACCAGCACAATCAAAAAACAAATGTCAACCAATGGAAACAAATTAAACAGGCCGCTTCGACTGCTTTTAAGAACACCGATAGGTGGCGTACGCTTATTTTCTATCGCGATTAGGGAGCAGGACTGGAAACTGAAGGTGTGTTTTAAAAACGCTATGGTAATGTTTAAGAAATTGAGTTGCCATGGTAACGTGTGTCTGTGTGGTACATATCCGTATATGCTAAATGCTATTTTAGGTATGGGAGTAGAAATACGAAATTATCATACGGTTCTCAGATTGCCCCCATATTTTTGTATTTTTAACCCTATAGAATTAATTCGGAGACAATTGAAGAAAATAATCATACACCGGAATTTCGACCCTAAAGTTATATCTTTAATATAACCACAGAAGTGGGATTTCCGAGATTTTCCGTCCTGAATTTCACAATGTGATAGTCTTGGAAAATATATCAAAAAATATATCACAAATATTTGGCATCCCTCAGTTCTTGTTGTAAAGAGATATAATAGTCCGATCTTATAAAAGCATGACACACATTTCAAGTTGTTTCTCTTTGGCTTCATAAATCACTTAGTATAGCTTACAATAAGTAGGCAAGACAACAAACGATACCTATACCTATTTAGATGATATAATTCAGGTTACTGAAATCAACATTCTTTTCTGTTATTTCTGAGATCTTATTTCTGAGTAAACCAATTCTGTCCGACCCACAAGTCTTTCGAGTTCTGTGGTCCGACCCTGGTTCCAAACACTTGCGGATGACTTCCGAAGTTCGGAACGTCTGCAAAAAATATCAAAAAGATTTCGCCTTCTTTTTTATGATTCATCTACTGCACTGGTCGTTTTTTGTGCACTTTCCTCTATTATCGGTATTTTATCTGATACCTGATTCCATACCTATTGGTATTACCTGTGCATTAAGTAAAACCCAATGAAATACCTTATAGTCGGCCTTAATAGTAGCTGTCTTCATCAATAGGTAGGTACTTAATTAATAGTAACATAACATATCAAATCCGGAAAATAATTAATTTCTTGGAACAGTATTGGCAACTCCATTGGCAAGAACTCTGGGAGTCCAAAAACCGTTTAGGGACGTTTTGCCTACTCAATTTTTTCAACAACCGTATGAAATATTTAATCATAATATTCCTAGAGATTCCTTTGAACATCTTTATTCTGATTTTCGTATTGTCATACTAATTTTATTCTAATAAAAAAGTGATGTCCCGCACCAAATATACTTCATATCAAGTACTTAGCAGTAAAACTCCTAGTCATCTCCACATCAATTATTCAAACTAAAACTAGATGATTCTAGTAGTAATATAGGACATGTTTCGAACCTATATAGGTTCATCATCAGTTTGGATAATGAAGGAATGAAAATTCAGTGACATTACATGGAAGTATACTTCCACCTAAAATGTCCCTGAATTTTCATTTCTTCACTTGTTGTAGAATTAATGCATAACATATATATAGTCTGATGATGAACCTATATAGGTTCGAAACATGTCATACTACTACTAGAATCGTCTAGTTTTTGATAAATAATTGTGGAAACATTGTCGTTCTAGATGACAACCTATAGTTAGGTAGTTAGTAGGCAAGAGCTATTGTTCCTCCTCGCACTAGGTCGCCTACTAGCTTTTCATTTAGATCGACAATGGTGAAAATGACTAGGAATTTTACAACAACTTCATCCATTAACTACAGTTTGAGATACCATGGCGACTTCTACTACAGATTACCTGGACTAGGCCAGAAAACTTCTACTTTATCAAAGTATAATCCAGGAATAAGAAGAGGTCAAAAATATAATTATTTCAATTCATTATTCCAGATTTTTCTGGGATTTTCTCTCCTCGTTTCTATAAAATGAAAATATGAATATTTTTTCAATATACGTGTATTAAGGACAAATCAGATGATTTGCCCCAAAATGTCACTGCGTTTAATAACTTTTCCTATCAGAGAGCCTAAAAGAGAAATTCACTAGCTTGTCAGTGACAATTTGTATTGAAAAAAGTTTGGATAAGAGAAATGAAGGTATATAGAGAAAATATCAAATTTTTACTTAGCTTTGGACGTTTCGGGAACGAATCTGCTCCTGTTTTCAACATAAAAAATTTATATTTGTATCGCAAATTCGTATTTGTCCTGACAATTTTCAGTTCTCAGTGACAATTGGTGAGGTTGGCAATCAAATGAGTTACAGGATGTTTTCATTAATCAATCTTGAATTTACCATTTTCATTTTCAGATTCCAATAGTGAATACCATGTTCTATTGAAATCTGAAAATGAAATGGTAAATTCAAGATTAATTAATGAAAATATCCTGTAACTCATTTGATTGCCAACGTTACCAATTGTCACTGAGAACTGAAAAGCTCGCCGAAAAGGGTCAGGACAAATACGAATTTGCGATACAAAATAGTTATTTTCCTAACAAGTGCGCAAAGTGTTACTCTCCCACACGCGAATACAGTTAGGCGAACGACGCATAGCGGAGTTCGAATAAGTTTTTGCGTGCGGAAAAGACACTTTGAGGACGTGTTAGGAACAACGTTTTTCCTACGAGCTCCATATATCAGTTAAAAAGGAAAATAAAAAAAATTATAACTTATTGAAAAATGTAACTAGAATAATCACATATAACAATTGAATAATAATAATAGGAAATCACATTTACCCTACGAGCTTCATATCCGATAACAACGAAAATAAAAAAATTTCAACTTAAATTATAATTTATTGAATAATTTTTAGTTAAACTTGATAGAAATAGCTAAACAACAAACATATCAATGAAATATAATGATAGAAAGTTAAATCATTTGTTACTAATAATTATATTGAGGCGAAATACAAGTATTGGAAAGAACGGTTGAAAAGTAAAAAGGGATAACGGCTTCTTATAGTGCATACAATAGTCTACAGCAACTAAAATGAATATAAATGTTCCATACCAGTGAGATTTTTGGGTAGTTTTACTTATCCGCACGCCGTGCAGATAACACCCATATCCGCACTGAGTGCGGAAAAGTATTACTTTGCGCACGCCAATGAGTGCGGAAAAGTACTACTTTGCGCACGCTCGTAGGAAAAATCCATTTTTATGTTGAAAACGGGAGCAGATTCGTTCCCGAATCGTCCAAAGCTAAGTAAAAATTTGATATTTTTTCAATATACCTTTGTTTTTCTTCGCCAAACTTTTTTCAATACAAATTGTCATTGACAAGCTGGTGAATTTTTCTTGCAGTGACATTTTGGGGCAAATCATCTGATTTTTCCTTACTACTGGTATATTGAAATAATATTCATATTTTTATTTTATAGAAACGAGGAGAGAAAATCCCAAAAAATTTGGAATAATGAATGTACCACCTCCTCGATTAACCTACAGACAGTATTTATTTCAATTCATTTTAGGATACTAGGCCTACAACAGTAAGAAAACGAACAAGAAAAGGTAAATCAAGCAAAAAGGCCAAAGGAACTAGTGAAATTATAAATGAAAACATCAAAAACATTCAGGTTTTCAAAGTAGAGATAAAGAAGAATTTTATTGGAAATGGAAGAGCTGCCAGCAGTTTATTGTGGAGCTTCTGAAAATCACATTCATTATGATAATTTTGTACTGAAAGAAGGAGAACCCATGAAACCATTCATGAGAGATGAAGTTGATGAAAAATGTACCTGGTTGGATGTGAAAAAATGTTCAGGTACAGTCCCATTTTTTAAATTTGAAATTGAAGAATTTGATGACCGAATTTTCAGGTTATATTGACTCTTCCACTTTCACCCTTTTCCCATGTGTGGAGTACATAACAATTGATGAATGTATCATACAAAATTGTTCACCAAAGGCTTTTGAACAATTGGCTAAACTAAAGGCCTTGGATATTAGGAATAGTGAATTTCCAGTTAAAAAGAATATATTTGAAGGGGCGAAAAATGTGGAGTCTTTATCAATTTCTAATTTCCACTTCAAGGATAATGATGATATTTTCAGTAATTTGTCAGGCCTCCTTAGCTTAACATTGGAAAATTGTACTTTTGGTGTAATTGAAAAAGACATGTTCTCAGGATTGCATACTCTCAAATATCTTTCCATCAATGAATCGAAAATTGATAAAATATCTTCAGATTGTTTCAATGATCTTGAGAATCTTGAGGAGTTGGGTATAAGGGATAATAAAATAGATGAGTTTGATCCAAAAGGCATTCTGAAACTGATTAATCTCAAACGACTGTCTTTGCATAATAATGAAACAAGTTCAGAAATTAATTATGAGATATTTCAACAATTACCAGCACTTGAATCATTTCTTTTTGATAACATTATTTATGAATCACTAGATTTCAGTGGTTTTAAAACCTTAAAAAATGTTGAAATTGGTTTCTCAAAGGAAAAGGATGATAATACTTCAAAAACTGCTATATTTGAAAAATTGAAATCAATGAACATTGAATACCAGTTTGTATTTTGTGGAAAAGTTAGTTTTGATAAAAATAATAAAGATGTGATGGTTTGTTGCTGAGAATCTTGATTTGATTTTGTGGTCTAGTTCGAAGGTCTCTATAAAAAGCTAATTCATATTCAGCTCACAATCAAAGGTGAGGACATGGAAAGATGTATAGATATGTTGGTTTTCACACTTGACAACAGTTGGCAGTTATTTACAATTGATTGATTTGCTATTTTCTCTATACTGCTGGTTATTTATCGTTTTCTATTCTATTGGGTCAAAACAGATTAAAAATGCTCCTTTGTTGGTTTCATAATTGACCAATTTGGTATTTTCTGATGCAAAGATATTTTCAAATTTTCACTTCACCTGCATTAATATTTTATTTTTTGTGTAATATAAATAGGTCATACATGAAAACCCAGAGTCATCTCCACAACTTTTATTTCAACTGATCAAAGATCAGTCGATCATTAACTTGATTATAAAGAAACATGATTTGTGACTAAACCAGAAGTATTTTTTTAGTCATATTTTTTTCTGTTCTACTTAGTGGCCAATGTTGAATTTTGGTAGCTTATCATAGTGTCGTAAATATGGCGCAGTCGGCAGGTTTTTTAAATGGATCACCCTGTATCAAAATATTTTTTCGGACTGCTATTCATCTAATTTACATTGATATCAAGTTTGGGGTGTCTGTGATTTGTTTACTTGTTATAAAACTATAAAATGTTTTCAAACTGTAGACCTTCAGTTGCTTGACAATAACCTAATCAATGAACAAATCTCCTCAAGCAGTTTTGAATAATAGTATATTCTTCAACGAGCGTATAATGATAGCTATTATTCCCGAGGATATGATTCGGAAACGAGCCGTAGGCGAGTTTCGGAATTATCCGAGAGAATAATAGCTATTATACGCGAGTAGAAGACTATACTTTCTCTACGACTATACGATAGTCAGAAATTTAATGTAATCTAATTATTATTTATGAAAATGATTTACTTGATGTATGAATTTTAATGATATTATAATACAATTGACAGGAATCTTTAATATTCAACGAACTCAATGATGAAACAACACAATAATTATTAGGTCAGTAAATTATGTTTCTCGTACTTAGTGACTAAATTTTCAGTGATATTCTCACAATTCGTGAAATTTAATGTCGGTGTTGCATTTAAATCAACACTGACATTTTTATTCATATTGCTAGTTGATGTTTTTTGTGTGAAGGAATAACTGTTATTTGATGATGATGAACATTGTTCGATTCATTGAAGAATTCGAATCTGCCGTTTTTTTTTATTCAACATGGAATCTTCTAGAAATCCTTCTGCCACCGATGTGCTCTTCCAGCCACCATGTCTTTTCAATGCTGTTATACCTCCACCTGCATTGACAAGCAAAGCAATGCCCGGTGTACATCTCGGGATTTGATGGCTTCCAAAATGAAACTATTTGTTTTCCCATTGCTGCAAACTTATCAATTTTCCTTTTTGGTAATTCATGAAAAAATTGGAAATCACAACATTTGCTGCTCGTATATCAATGTACTTTTCACAAAATTGATAAAATTTTCCGGTTACAGTGAACCTCTTTACAATTTTTGTTTTGGTCTCAGGAATAGTTATTATCATCCATGCAGATCCAAGATCTTGAATATCTTCAATATTCATAGAGTACATTTCTATGGAACGGCAAGCCTCCATTATATCCTCCAGATATCAAAGTCAAAACTTAAAAGACGCTATAAGTCAATCTGACATTCGCGAAAGTCAAGCCGTGACGTGACCCGTAAAATGAAGCAGAGCCTTCTTGAGAAATTTGTTTGGTAGATTTGCTGGTTTCTCATTAGTCCAACCTTTTCAGTTGCAGTGGATCCTGAAAATTATGAATCTGTGAGTGGTCGAGTGCCGTTGAATAATGTGTTGGGATCCACGGTGTCTTGGAATCATCTTCATTCATCAATGACTAACCTATATGTAATCAATGTAGAGAGAGAGAGAGAGAATAATCTTTATTGTCTAAAATGTATTACATTTCGTCGACAAAGGTATAACATATATATAAAACACAAACTATTGTAAAAGAAACAAGACTAAAAAAATATTTACACAAAGGGTATAATACGGTACGGTACACACGTGCTTTCACAACTACAGTTTATTAAAATCTTGATGTAGATAGTAACATTTATATAGAAAGACTAGAAAATTAGATGCAAAATACTCTTCCAAACTATAAAAGCACTTTCCCATCAAAAGGTTTTTTACCGATTTCCTAAATTGCTTCTGATCATTGATTGCTGTTATTTGTTTCGGTAAATGATTATATATCTGTCTACTTCTATAGATTTGAGAATGCTTGGTCAAAGTTGATGTGGGGAGTGGAAGGACAAGTATCATCTCCTTTCGTGTATGCCTTTCTGCTCGATTCAAGAACTTTTCTTTATGTTTGTGGAGCAAGCAAACAGTCTCTATAATAAAAATTTCGAATATTGTTGGTATTTTATATTTGCAGAAAATTGGCCTACACGAGTCGCGAATCCTCTTTTTGAATATTATTCTCATAGCTCTTTTTTGAATGACGAATATACTTTGCAATAAAACCTGGCAGGCAGAGCCCCAAAATGGAATTCCATACCTAAGATGACTCTCCATGAGTGAATAGTATGCGGTCATTGAAGCTGAAAATCCGAGTTCACGAGATATGACATTCACGGCAAAGCAACCAGAAGACAATTTCTTTTTCAGTGCATTAATTTGTGTGTCAAACTTCAAATTACTATCAATAAATATACCGAGGAATTTCGTTACAAGCTTACTTTCAACCGTCTGACAACCTAAAGTTACCTGATCCAAATCCCACTTAAATGTGACCAGATTTGTTTTAGAAAAATTCAGCGACAACATATTCGATTCACACCAATTTTTTATTTTTTCTAAATCAGAGTGTATTGTTCGAGTCAAAATGGCCGGATCTCCATTACGCCAAAATACCGTGGTGTCATCCGCAAATAAGGTGAATGTTCCAGATATATCCAATTTAGCCAGATCGTTAACATACAGCAAGAATAAAATTGGGCCCAAGACTGACCCTTGAGGAACTCCGTTTACTATTTTTCCACTTTCGGAAGTATTATTGTTCAGAGATATTTTTTGGCTTCTACCAGTGAGATAAGATCTGAACCATTCTAATGTTGTTCCCCGAAATCCATAATGGAAAAGTTTCTGCAGGAGGATCTCATGACACACACAATCAAACGCCTTAGAAAAGTCCAGAAATACTGCCGCAGCCACTTCCTTGTCGTTTAGAGTTGTGTAAATGTTTTCAAGTAAATTGAAAATGGCATCTGTCGTATTTTTATCATATTGGAAACCAAATTGTACGGGAGTTAAAATCTTGTGCTTTTCCAAAAAGCCCACCATCCTGCGTTTGACTAGTTTTTCGATGATTTTTGATAACGTTGATAGAATTGAGATCGGTCTGTAATTACTAGGGTCATCAATGGCACCTCCTTTGTGGATTGGTAACACTTTCGCAGATTTTAAGTGTGAAGGAAACACACCAGTGGTAAACGATGTATTTATAGCTGTTACTAAGGCTTCAAGAGCTTCATCCGGCAATTGAAAGAGCAGCTTTGCTGAGAGGTTGTCTTCACCAGCAGAGTTTTTATTTTTGATTTCTATTATCACAGATTTAAGTTCACTCAAATATGTATCATACAAAAAAAGGGAGTCCATAGGAGAGCTCATCTTGTTCAAATTATGAAGTGGATCTACTATTGGTATGATATCTTTGGTTATTTTTGATGCTACTGAACAATAATATTCATTCAAATGATTTAAGTTGATCTTTATTTCCGGTTGATTTTGTTTTTTATTACCTCTCAAGTCGTTTATTATTGTCCACATTTCCTTTGGTTTATTACCTGCCTGATTCAGTCGGTCAGTATAATAGAGATCTTTGGCTAATTTGATAGTTTGTCTGTAAATACGACGAAAGTTATTGAAGTATGAAATAAAAAATATATTGTCACTATGAAATTTTCTAATGGTATGCAGGCATCTTAGATTTTTTGAGGAAATTTTTAGTCCTTTCGTGAACCAGAGTTTGGATTTTTTCCGTTTCAACAAGCGCAGCGGAAATGCTTTATCGAAATTTTCACAAACAAGTTTCTGAAATTCGTTAACTGGATCTTCTGTTTCATTTATAGAATCCCAATATGTGGCTTGACAGAGATTCAGAAAATGTGCATAGTTTTTTCTGCTATATATTCGTCCATACTGTTTGCCCTGGTTAATGGTTGCATCTTTAAGAATGTTGGGGATGATACAGAAAACTGCTTCGTGATCAGATAGACCTGGATTAATTACTGAGGTCGATACATCCTCGATGTTTGTACAGACGTAATCTATAATACTCGATGAATAATTAGATATACGGGTGGGACTATCTACATGCATAACTAGATTAAAGCAGTCTAACAAGTTAGTGAGTGTTTGGGTTTTATTGCATGTTTTGTTTTCATAATGTATATTGAAGTCTCCAGCTAAAATTTTTGATGCGAAGGGGGGCAATTTTGCTAATAAATATTCCAGTCTTTCCATGAATATGTTATGCTCTGATGAAGGTGGCCTATAGACACACACTATATAGACATTACTATGTTGTGAATGAATTATTGAAAATTCAAATTCTTTTTCCACAATCAAATCGTCATATCTGTTAATGTTCGCAAAAGTAAAAGTTTTCAAGAACTCTGTTTTAATCATTATCAAAGTTCCTCCGTGCATTGAGTTTATCCTGCAATATTTTGACATGATAAAATAACCAGGCATATAAATTGGTTCATCAACTTTGAGCCAATGTTCTGTCAAAAGGACAACATCAGGCAAATTTTGCTGTTCCAGAAATATATTTAGCTCATCAGCTTTGTTGCGTAAAGATTGAATATTTAGCAACAGTAATGACATACAGTCGCTATTTTGTTCTAATCTAGTCCCAACTGAGATAGACGGGGGTATAAAAAATGATTATCCGGGATCACTTGTTCATTAGGGAT